GTAGACTCTTTGCACTTGCCCGTTTGTCAGTGTTATCACTTGCCGTGGCTGCTTTGGTGCTTTACCAGCTAAGGTCACCTCTCTTTGGCAGCAACCTCATTTCTCTTCTTCCCTTCTAGCCCAGGGCAGAATTAGCCCCTTCAAATGATCCATAAAACTACTGTCCTCTTCTTCTGATCATTTACTGAAATCTTTTCTTAAGGTATTTGTTCTATCTCCGTATAGTTTTGCAAGGTGTAGGGTCATACTCCCCTAATAGGGCTGGAGTTTTTTCTGCCATTAATGGACAAACAAACTAACCTACTCTTTTACACAAGAACTCATGTTTTTCATCCCGTGAGTATTTTAGTAGTAAAATAACTGCAATATAAAGAGGGAAAATGTATAAACCTGTCTTTTGACAGTGGTTACACATTAGAGATACCATTATGTGGAGTTATTACAAATGAATGAATAACTCTTAACAGGTAGACAATTCTGTCATCATGAAAGTGTTCTTCCAAAGGGTTTTGCCATCAGCTCTGGCTACTGTCAGGGCAGATACTGGTTTGATAGATCTATGTGAACACTGAAGCTGATGCATCAAAAAGAAACAGTGGTTTCGCTGGTGAACTCTATAACTAAAAATCACAAATTCAGGCTGATTTGATACTATTTTGCAGAAACTATGCCATGCAAATATTGTCATTACTACCAGAAGATCCTGTTTCTAGATGTGTAATTTAATTTTAGATGCCTACAACTGCATAAAAATAGTATGTCCACTACTCTCTTTTGAACTACAGTTTGTTTTCTGGATCAGGAAACAGTTAGCAAATAAAAAATCCTTGTGTGTAGGAGTTATAAAAATAGCTCGTGGAAAAAATTCTAGTCAGATTGGTGTCATAGAAATGGAAAGGTTTTCACTGGAGTAATTGAATTATGTATGGAAGCTCTTCTAGTCAAATCGAGGACTGACTGACTTTGTTTCAGCTTTAACATTGATGTTAGTTGGATCTTAATATAATTGTTTCCAATTCTCGAAGCATATTTTAAATACTTCAGATTAGGCTTTCGAATCTAATGGGACAAAACCAAATTCTTAATGAGCTAAGATTTTGTATTTTAAGCTGTATAAGGTTCTTCACACTTTGTGGAAAGCAAGGCCTGAGTAAAATAACTCGCTACAGAGCTGTGCAGTAACATGAACAATTACTAAACAAAGAAAAACCCTCCTGTATTCATGTAAAAACTTAAAGCATAGGAATGCAGTACTCTAGTGTTATTTTAATAACACTATTGACATGTTTAATTTCAATAAATGGGATAAATACAAAAGTGCTCTTGCATGTGTGCTTATAGTCTGAAATCTTCTGCAGTAAATTTGGGCCCTCACTATCTATTCACACTAAAAATATGTGAATCATGTAGATTATTTTATTTGAAAAGGCCAGGAGTGCAAAGCAATAACTGGGAGAGTCAGCAGTTAAAACTTCTTGTGAAACAGTTTATGAAAATGCTAAACAAGCTTTTGACAGCTGTGGGATCTTTAGTAGGAGGAAAGTGTTTCTTCGTGATTTTAATTTATTCAGTTTTGATCATTTTGAAGATGAAAAGATAGGAAAATTACTTTTTATCTTCAAGCCCATGAATAAAGGTGAATAAAGGTAGTTACAAAAGACTGGGACCTGGAAGGCAGAAGTATTTTTGATGCACGGGGTCGGTTATCTGCTGAATCTGAAATAGTCACCTGGACTTTTGCAAGAAGCCTCTTTAGAGCTGAGTGTTGTCTAGCAAAGACGTATGGCCGTGGAAATGGACTTCTTTAATGTACCTTTTAAATGTGCCTTGTTTTGTGCACAAAGAGAAAGGAAAATGTACCCTGAGTTTTGCCAGAGCGGCCGAGGAGACGTGCAGTGTAGTGGTCATCACGAGTGGTTTTTTATATGGAGAACTGCTTTAATGCAGATGGTTTCTGAATTTAGTGAGTAATTTGGAGTGCAAAAGTCTCTTTTGTATATGAAAAAAATCACACACGGTTAAAATACTGAATTATCCTTGAGCATGAACAGACTTTATAAATGGATAACGTAATATTTTCATTGTGATATTAATGAGAAAACGTCATCATCGGCCCACATTACTAGTTGGGGTGATGCGCTTGCTTTAAGGACATGCAGGTGGAAGCTGGAGGTCTAGCAGCAGATGAAATAAGGACGAGATTAATGACCTGATCTTAATCTGTGTTGCCAGAGAGGAGCAGAGGCAATTCACAGTTGAGCCTGGGCTTTAGTGCCTGCTGAGCACCGTGCCCTGGGTAGGGCTCTGTGATACACCATCTTTCGTGGTTTGTTTTTCTTTTTTCAAGTGCACACTCTGTTTTGTGCAAGTGTTCAGCTACAGATCAGTCCTATTTTTTTCAGTTCTGTTAAGGGTATATTAAAATAATAGAGCTATTTCTTTGTCCATTTACATTTCATCACTGTTTTGGAAGTTCTTTCAGTTTCATGACTTGGTATGCATATGTTTTTTCCAAGTGTATTTATGTATGCCAAACAAAATGTGGCCGGATGCCACTGAGTTTCTCTGGTAACTTCCCTCTCACCTTAATTTCAGCATACTTTGCATTCTCTGCTGCTTCTCTTTCAGTTATAAAACTAAAGAAACAGGGTGACTTTTGCATCCACAGTCTGCTTTAGTCTCATCTATTTCATGTGAAGTTAGACCCAGATCTCCCCCGGCTCAAGGAAGCTCTGCACTTTTGCTAGCTCTGCTTTAGGTCAATGAACCAGCAGTGGGGTCTGTGCTGCCTCTTCTCAGCCTAGGTCCATGCAGTTGTTCTCCTCTTTAGTTTCTGTCAGTGTTTGGGGAGTCTTTCCAGCTCTAGAGTTAAAGTCCAGGTTTGTAATTCCCCAGGTTCTCTATCCCTGTCCTCCTATGTCTCCCATCACTAAATTCCCTTGGGTGTTTGTGTCCAGCTCTCCTGTCTCTGTTTTATTTTGCTTTCCAGGGGGGTTGTGGAGTCTCCTTCTCTGGAGCTCTTCAAAACCCACCTGGATGCCGCCCTGTGCCACATGCTCTAGGTGTGCCTGCTTGAGCAGGAAGGTTGGACTAGATGATCCCTAGAGGTCCCTTCCAACCTTAAATATTCTGTGATTCTGTGATTCACATACTGCTGTTCACCTAGGTCATAATCTCACTAACAGTCAGGATAACAGACTCCAAGTTATGCCGAGTCCTCCGTGAGCCATGGCAATAGGCAGAGGGGATTTAATGGTGCAGTAGGACAGTGATAATTTACACTGAAGGGATTTGCTCTTAGAATAATAACTTGTTTAGTTTACGTGCTTTCAGCTCTGACATCTAGTATGGGTTCCACAACTGCCTGCAGAAAATCAATAATAAACCATTTTATGTACTGGAGCAAAAGAAGGGCACGCGGGGGGAGACGACGCTATTATTTGCTTTAACTCTTTGAAGTCCAGTGTTTCTGCTCTTGGATTGAATTATTAAAGTGAATGATCTAAGGAGACTAATTAATTACTTTACCACAAAGGAAGCTGAGGGAAGGAGATTACAATTTTGATCTCCGTACAAAAAGGTTTGTGTGCTACTTGAATTAATCCCTTGAGTACCTTATGGTTTGCAGTATGTCCAACAAAAGGGCACTTGTTTCCTTAGGAAAACACGCCGCGCATACCAACATTCCCCTGCCAGAACTGGAAGCCTATTCAAGTTGTTGATCAGCATTTCCCACTGGTGTTTGCGTTTAGTCATCTACTTGGTTACTAGAGACTCCAAGAATGCGGTCCAAATTTTTACAAAATTGAGTTGTCATAACTGCAAGCTAGCTAGACTGCAAACACAGGGAGATAGCAGAGAGCTGATGGGGCTGCCAGCAGTAGCTACGTGACGTGGTGGAGCAGGCTGCTCTTGACTTCTTGTGAATGCCTCTCCAGCGCAGAAAGTGAAAAATGAATTGCCAGCTGCCCAAGCTTTGAACACTAACACAAACAGAGAATACATATCAGAAGTTGGATGTGATTCATGCATTTTCTCTTTAGATCTTCCCACTCCTAGTCTTTTTTAATGTCTAGCCCTCAGGCCCCGAGGTCCTTCCGCACGGACTGCGTGAGGGTCAGCGTGTGCAGTGGCAGCCTGTGCCTCTATCCCACCATTTCTCTGTTGCTGTGGGACGCTAATTTGGTTCTCTCTGCTTTCCCGAGCCATAGGTGGGTTTGTTTTTTCACAAAACGTTTAGAAATGTTGGAGATTCTGAAATCGAAGTCTGCCGGCCAGCTTGGACCAGGAATTAATGCAAGCCTGGGGGACATGGTGTCCTGGGGCATTCGAAATGCAGCACAACAGTCCAGCCCTCCTTATCTCAAGGAACAAATCTCACAATGAATGTAGCTCCCTTTATAGATCTCCTTGGCCTCTTGAAATTGCTAAGTGTTCCACTCCAGAAAAAAAAATATTTTAAGTAATTGCTTCTCACCAGTTATTTTCCTGAAGGTTTTATGAAACCTTCCTTTAATCTTTGCATTTCATACCTTTCAAATTTGTGTTGCTGTCGGCCCTCCCGCGTGTGAGAGTACTGATACTGCGAGCTCCTGCTTCACTCCTTTGGCGTGGCGTGTAGCGCTGGGTATGAATATCTTAACAAAACCCACAGCTGTCACACATTAAGAAAAAATAATTAACCTTTTGCCTACCATTTATTCCAAATTGCCTCTTTCATCAGAGAGCTCTCATGCTTTATTCTGCCCACAAACTGTGTCCATAGCCACTTGCAGGGCCCGCTGCAGCTCCCGTCTCTTCCAGCAGCAACTTGCAGGGCGAAAGCGGCTTCGTGTTCTGACTCTCTGCCCTCGCACCTCTGTGTGTTTCATAGCAGAGCATGAACTTGGCTTATGCATTTCCTTGCTTTTCCTACCCTTCCTAAGATACTCCGAAACTGGGAAAACTAAAACGAAGGGGAAGGTGCTGGTGCCCGTCGCCTTGTTTCTTCTGGATCGATGATGGTGGTAGATGAAACCTGCAGCTCTGACAGCTCTATATGTCTGGGTTTATTTTTCTTCTCTTTTTGGTAAAACTTTTGAAAGATGAGATGAAGTGTTGTGTAGCTGTTGTGCCATGTCCAAGTGGAGGTATCGCCAAGCTCAGGCTTTGCAGCCTCAGCCCAAAGCTGAGGGACGTTGGCAACGTTGGGGGAAAAACAGGAAACTTCTGAAATTGTATATATCTGGGGGGGGGGGGGAGGTCTGCTTAAAACATTGCTAGTAATTCTCATTTTTTAAAAAAAGTCCCTGAATTTCATTTTAATCTTGTACAAATCTAAATTTTGTCATTCTCGATATGCCACCTACAATGCTATCCTGCTTTAAAGACAGCTAACCAAAATCTTGTGACTTGTTAAAGATTCACAGGAAGTAATATTCTCATTTTGACTGATAACAGGAGTTCCTGACTTTGTATTCGGTCCCAAGGGGTAATTCCAAAGTGTTTTCTAAATACAGTTAAAACTGAACTATGGTCTGATGGTCTTCATTGTGGCTCCTAATTCTGTCCATGGCCATGAATATCACAGAATCACAGAATGGTTGAGGTTGGAAGGGACCTCTAGAGATCATCTAGTCCAACCTTCCTGTTCCAGCAGGGACACCCAGGGTGGCATCCAGGTGGGTTTAGAAGATCTCCAGAGAAAGAGGTCTTCCAGAGGAGGAATATAATATGCAGTATTGCCTATAAAGGGAAATATTAATGGGCAAGTTAAAATCAATATAAGAGCAACAAAAAAAGGGATCTGAAGCTCAGGTTTCTCAAAGGTGAAGGTGACAGATTTGGGCCCCCTGTTCTTAAGAGTCATCTAAAGAGCTGCCTTTAGCAGTCAAACAATGCAGAAGATTTTCATGCAGGCGCCCTCATGGGCCTTGCTATCAGCAAGAGCTGACACCTTGGGAAACGTTGGGAAACTCATAAACACAGAAAATGACTGAGGTGAATACAGGGGATTGCAAAAGAAAGCTTGATTTCGTACATATCTTTTTACTTCTGATGTAGCATTTTTGTGATGCTAAATATAGTTTTGTTATTTTAATTGTTGGTGATGTTCAGTTAGCTTTGCATTATGGTCATATTTGACAATTCTCATGGGCATTGTGACATATTCTGATGGGCTGAATAAAATTTAAAGCATTATGAATACACTGAAAAATATCACTGTTTATTGTCAAACTGAAACTGACTGTGGTGCCTTTTTATCTTTATCCTTTTCTTTTTTTGAGAATAAAGACCAGTTTCTCCATGATGAAGTTTCATCTTCAGTGTCACAGCTTGCGACAAAGGTAAATATCTGTTCTTTGGAACTGTAACTTGTTTTGTATCATATATATTTCAATGTCAGTTAAGAACTTTTCATGTATAGCGTGAATTGAGGCTTATTTATGCACTTCATGGGAGATTTTTAAATTACTTATGATTCTTCTTCTTAGTGTCAGTGGTTGGTTCTCCTTGAAGATATGAGCAACAAATAGTTCAGTAACATTCAGCTGAATTCCGTTTTTTTCTGTGATAATGAAAAGAAATAATGAGTAACTGAAATTCAGTCTAAAGACATAATAGGCAATAAAAGTGTGAAAAGTAAAAGGATTTGTATTATTTAATGCATATTTTATATGCAACTCAGTGGGCTTCCTCACCACAAGAAGTTAAGAACTTCACTTTGTATCTCTTTCAGAAAAGAAAAGTACATGTACAAGGGAGAATTCTTTACCTTGATATGTGTCCAAGAGGTTTTTTTTTTGAATATTCTTAAAATACATTAATAGAAGATGAAAGAACTGGAAGTCATTGTTATATGCTAGAGCTTGCTTTGAAATTCCATAGGTATGGGAAAAAAGCACTTAAAATTGTTTCATTAGTGTAATAGGATACTTGACATTAATATGCATAAACTGTACATCTGCCTCTGTTACTACTGTTTTGTTCTACTTCAGATGCAGTGTAATTTTCACTAAAATACAAGTGCAATTGTACTGTGTATTTTCTGCTTTTTAGAAAAAAACAGATTCCTTTTTATGAAAACATAAACTACTGGTTGTTTTATGCCAGGTGATGAATGTTAAGCCGATTTTAGGATTTTCTGTTAGTTTTATATCAAAAATTTTAGTTCATTCCTTAGTCATTCAGAAAGATTTGCTAAGTGTGTGTTTTAGAAAACGGAAGTCATCAGGCAGTCTACTGAGCTGCCGTATTTCTGTGTTGCAAAATAACCCCCCTTATGTTAAAAATGGATTCACAGAGAAGCTCCTTATTTTCTCATCTTTTGATAATTTCTTGTCTGTGCTGAGAGCGCTTTGATTTTACTGATGTTTCGTCTTAGAGCTGCCAGCAGAGTGATGTTGCAGAAGTTGTGAAATGCTGAATAACCGATAATGGGCTGGTGAATGTGCCCGTGGCCTTTTCAGCATGGGGCTTTCATAGAATCCTTAAGGTTGGAAGGAACCTCCTGAGATCATCTAGTCCAACCCCCTGCACATGCAGGGTCTCCCAGAGCACGTGGCACAGGGCTGCATCCAAGTGGGTTTGGAAGATCTCCAGGGAAGGAGACTCCGCAGCCTCTCTGGGCAGCCTGTTCCAGGGCTCTGTCACCCTCACTGTTAAGAATTTTTTTTCTTAGGTTCCTGTGAACTTTTGGTGCTTCAGTTTGTGGCCATATCCTCTAGGCCTCTTGGTGTTTCAGAGGGAGGAGCTGCGAACCCTCTAGTGGTAGCCTGGGCAGGGCAGAAATGCAGGATGAGACCACAGGGCCTTGGATGATCTCTGATGTTCTACCAAAGTGCAGAAATTCTGAGTGAAAACCAGAGTGAAGGCACCATCTAGAGTGATTACAGCGCCTTCTTTTGAAAAGAGAGCAGTTCTGGTGGAGGAAGAAAACCCCAACATCTTAATAACATGGGACTGGAAATGCTGGGACCTTCTTGCAGGGCCAAACTGTGGAGTTTGGGCTCATCAGAGATGCACAATGGAGTAGCTCTGGGTTTGCACATGAGAAACTGAGGGAGTTTGGAACTTTTTCCTCCAAAATGCTTTGGAGGAAACGCTTTGATACCGGGAATAAATTTGAATGGAAGGGAGGTTGTTTCTTCATTTTCTGTTACTTGAATTGTTGCATGTTATGAATAGCTTTCCTGTGAGGTGGTAACAGCACTTCTGGAATTAAAGCTGATTGATGTTTTTTACTTTAAAATGCTTAGCTGTAACTTCACTGAACTATAAACTACTTATATGGAAAATTCCATCCCCAGCTTTTTTGTGAGGAGGGGCTCCTTTTGCCGGGGGAGGAGGAGGGGAAGCTGTAGCACAAGCAATTGTTTCTTCCCAGTCAAGGCTGAGAGGAAAATCCGTTCTTTTTGTTTACCATTAATCAAACAAACAAAAGTGCTCTGGAATACCTCTCATTTGAAGGAATTTGATCTACCAACTATCAGACTTCTAATATGAAAACACTTGCAGCATTCTGCTAAAACTTGGCAAAAGCATAAATTTCTGGAAATCTCATTTCATGCATGCTGAGCAGAGAGGGTTTCTTTTTTAGGGATTAGCTGCTTAGCTACACAGGGGCACTAACCATGCCCATTCTCCTTGCAGGTATGGAGCAGGAATCCCCTCTAATTGCTTCTTTGGTCCCGAGGCTGTTGGCGTGCGGCCTGTTGTCACCCACAGGGAGCCACTGCTGGGCAGGCAGGCAGGGAGCAGAGAACTGCAGGGAGAATTTGTATCCAGCTACAGGCACCTGCTCCTAAAGCAGCTCCATCATTCATAAAGCACTGCCCTTGTAGTTCAAGTGATCCTCCCAAGTACTGTCATCTTTTACTTTGGAACTGTTTATCATGTAGATCTAACATACTGTGCCCAATTCCTTTGTGTCGTTCTTTGAATAAATGGAATTTTACACCGTTTCTTTTCCCCTTGATATTAGCATTTATTACCACATACACCTTCTCAAGTTAAATTTACAAATAGTCTTTTTATTTAGTTAGTTCATCTATCTTGCCTAGTTAGATAGTTCATCTAACTTTCTATCTATCTATGTAAATGTAAGTTTTGTGGCATAGGTTTTCAATTTGCCTTCTGGAAGGAGTTTACTGTTTTAGATATAACCAACTGCTGGAATCCCCAGATGCTCACTGTTTTGCTATGATTTCTAGTGTGGCTTCTTATTTCTCAAGAGTATTCCTGCCCTATGCTAGAGCTCTCGTGGTGAGTTATGTGCCTTCAGCAGTAAAGTTAAGAGAAGAGCCTTCTCGGTGGTGCTTTGTTAGGCTGTTCAGTTGTTGCTTCATTATTCAGTGCCAGACAAAGGTGCCTGCCTAGTACGGGAAGCTCAGAATTACAGGAATCGTCAGAATTTGTTAGTGTGGAGAAAACTGGTATGTAAGTCGGTCATTTTTAGTGATGCTTCTCAAGTTAGGAGAGGCTTCCAGACCTCAGAGGGCTGTCCCTGTCTGGGGCACTTTATATACAGTTTAGATACACAGTTTGTGTACGGTTGGTTCTCTTGAGTCAGTATAGGCAGCAGAGCAAAAAATTCTTACATTGAGGCCTGAGTTTATAGAGCGAGGCTCAGGAGGTGAGCTGCACTGTATGTGCAGGGTTGTAGAGAAGAAAGGGGCTAGATAACTGCAGGCTTCATAGGGTGCTTGAGTTATTAACAGCTGCTGCACAGGAGAGATGATGTTTCCTCCAGCTTCCACGGGCCATGGTGGTTGTCCAGTTCTGGCATCCTTTAATTAACTTATTCCCCCAGATACAAGAGCGTGGCACAAGGAAGGCTGTGTAAGTGTGAGGATTGGGACCTCCCCCATCTGCAGGGGTGTCTCATAGACCAGATCTGCCTTCTCGAGCAACTCGCCCTCGAGAATCAGCCTGACAGATGGACACTGAGCCTGGAAGCGTCACCAAAGCAGAGGGTTTGGGATTGAGGGGGAGAAACAGCAGACACTTGTGCTAGGGATAGGCAGACTGCATCCTTTACATGATGTTCTGGAAGCAACTGCTTGTGCGACCCCTTTCATAGGGTATACTAATTAAATGGCAGATTTTTTATTTTTTTCATGGTGGAGGTGTGCTTCCTAAATAGAGATAGAGTAGTTCATAAATGGGAATTTTATCTGCTGAACTGGAATCTGTGCTCAACACTTGAGATCTTTGGATGCCTATTAGGACATTTTTTTTGTCATAAATCTTCTAGTGATGAAATACATTTATTTCTATATGTATATTTTTCTTCCATTGATTGTTTTAGGTGATTGCAGAGGACACTGTGCTGCACAACCTTCTAAACAACTGAAATGGAAGGTTGGGGAGAAAGTTTATTAATGGCTGTTTTGATAGGGATACTCCATGCTCTCGTAGGCAGATCAAGTATGGAACCAGATAGGTGTCCCTAATCCTACCCGATACTGCACTGAAGTGTCGTCTTGATTCTTCTGCTTTGTTTCTCATTTACACTTTGGTAAATACTTGTAGACTTCAGTATCCAATAAAGCCCCTTAGAGGTCTGGACTTGCCAACATCTGGTGCTAGATTTCCAGTTGCTGTGGGCATCTTGCTTTTTAAAAGCTGGATATGTTCTAGTGATGTTAAACAGGTGTTTGGGGTTTTTTTCTATGGATCACCTCCCAGCTATGGGATGGTCCATTCTCATGAACAGGAAAATAAGCAAAGGTGGCAGGAAACCTGCATGGATGACTAAGGAGCCCCTGTCTAAGCTCTGTTATGGAAAGCAAGCATGCAGGCGGTGGGAGCAGGCATCAGTGACCAGGGAGAAAGGGACAGGGTTAGGAAAGCCCATCCTGGAGCAGAATTTCTGGAGTCTGAGCTTTTTTTTCTCATGCTCTGTAAGATCATAGGAAATTTCCTACTGAATCAGATACAGGTCCATCCAGCCTCATATTCTGCCTTAGGTCTTTGCAAGGGAGAATGTACCTCGGCCTCTTTCTTTAGCCTGTTCTTCCAGCATCAAGAGTTAGTGTTTTGGGATGTTACAGGATACCCTCTAAGTAGAGGGTATCTGTTTATGAAGCTGCTTCTTGTGAATTTGGCAGGTCCTCGTTTGAATTTGCTAGTAGTTTAGCTCTTTTTTTGCAGAAGATAGTTACAGAATTTCATGTGGTGTTTAAATAAGCATTTACTTCTGCCCATTTTAAACAAATCTTCTCTTTAGTTTCTTAGGGTGCATCCTAGTCCTCTGACTTTGGGATTTGGTGACCCACATTGAGTTCAGTTCATCTGCTGCCTTTGTGATATTTGTAAACCTCAGCCACGACCCTTTGGGCTTCTTCCTTCCTGGCCTAGGGAGTCTCAGCCTTTAGTCTCTCCTTACACCACCCCTGCTCCACCCCTCGGTAATTGCAGTTTTCCCTCTCTGCATCCTCTCCAGTTGTACCGCAATCTTCTGGGGAAGCAGGCACCCAAACTGCAAACAGTTCCCATCTCTTGGCAGCTACAGGAGTTTACACGGTGGCAACGTGGTGTTTTCTGTCTTATCTCCTGCTTCTACTGGTGCTGCACATGTAGGTGACATTTGTCTAGGTTAAAAATTGAAAAGAAAATGAAAGAGAAATATATAAATACAGCAGGGAGAACTAGGGGGTTGGGGACTCAGGGGATTTGAGTTTTGTCTTTAATCAGTCACAGAGCAACATGACAGCCATAGTCAAAAAGGAAAATGTTGGCTTAAGAAACAGTTTGGTGGCTGGAGAAAAGCTCCCTGAGCTCGAGGGAAGCTTTTGACCCTTCCTTTGCCAGCGTTTATATCCCTGAAGCGCAGAGAGGGCTCTGGGGTGCGAGCTGCCCTCCTCCTTCCACACGAGTCAAGGGAAGTGGGGGGCTCAGCGTGGGACGCAGGAGCCTCAACGTGGTAGCTGCAGATCCAGGTTTTCCTCTTGCTTTCAGCTCAGTTCACTTATTATCAACCAGAGGCACTTATCAACACAGGGGCCTTGCCACGTTTTAGCAAGATATGTTCTACAAGAGCACTGATGCTCTTATGTACATTAATCTGTCCTCATTCTTTCTGGAAATACACTTGAGCATTTATTTACTTAGTATCTTAAAGGCTTAATGTATGTTTCAGCTCAGAACAGTTGAGGGAATAATAAATCAATTTAGTCAGCAGGAGTTTTTTTATTATTATTGTTCTACTTTGCTATGTATCTGCTGAACACGTGGATTCATTGTGGGAGGACTTCTTTAGGAAAACGTGAGCTGGTGCCTGCTGGAGATCTCGCACAAGGTCTTGTTTGCAGTCAGTGCTCTACACACAGGGAGAGGGAATGCACAGTCAGCCTTCTCGAGGGTTTTATGTAGAAGCTCACATTATCTGCTTGACATTCAGTGGTCCTTTTCTCTCGTTTGTAAATCAGCATGGGATTTAGAGAACTTAAATTTTTAAATATCAGAGTTAAAATGCATTTTTTTTTTTTGCTGGATAAGAACAAAACTTCATAGTGCACTGTCTATAAAGTTATTTAAAAGCAATTTAAGTTAGACTAGTCTGTGTTAAATTGCTTGCTGAAACCAATGAGAGGCTTTTTGTTCACAGTCTGCAGACTTGCTACGTGGCAAGGGCTTCGTGAACCATCGTTACTAAAGAAAGATAAGATTACATACAAATTAAATGGCTAGGGTGTATTTTTGTCTTTTTCTAGTTCAAAGGCCTAAAGGATTAAGCCAATAAGGCTTGTGTGCTCTTTTTAATTGTGGATTTGCAGTGGTGGCGGAGGTTCCTCTTTCCCTCCCCCTTTTTTTCCCCACCTCACAGCTCGTTGCTGCCAAATCTGCTGTTATGGGTTGCCCCTATTGCATGAGGGTTTCTTTCAGTCCTCTGTAATGGGAGGATGATTTTTTTTTATTATTATTATTATGAAAAGCTAAGTGCTTTCTAGAGCCTGCCTGTGCCTCCCCATCCCTCCCCTCCTCTTCTTTTTAAGCAGACTTATACTTCCAAGAAATTCCACTTTTTCAGTATTCAAGAGCCAATGCCTTGGAGATTCTCTTTTGGGAGGGTTTGTGCTGCTTTACAGTGACAGGAACCCAAGACAGAGTAGTAAAATCCTCTTGTTAAACTTGTTACAGAATTTATCTGAGCTGCAGAAGAAGGTAATGGGACTAGCCATTTAAAGGCTAAAATGAAGGTATTAGACCATTATTTATTCCATGATTACATTATATAGAGTACAGCTTATACAGGCTGATAGTTCAAACACGAAGATTTGGTGTGCATATATAGCGTTTTCTGTGTGGTACTATCCATAGCTTGTCTGTTTTTATTTTTATTCTGTTGACAGAACCAGCCTTTCATGACATAAATACAGTAAATATACCACAGGCATACACAGTTGATGTTAGTTGTTTGTTTTGTAATATATAATCATAAGTTTAAATTAAGCACAAGAGTTTATTATAATCTGTGCTCACTTTATTGTCATAGTGAAAAATGATTGGAAAAATGTAAGGAAAGTTGCTTTCCTCACAAAGCCGGAGGTTGCTGTGATTGCTGGTGAGATGAGGAGGGGTTTAGGCAGAGGTGGGCAGAGCAGGTGTGGAAGTGGCAGGGAACTTGACTCTCTCCCACCTTGCCTATCCCTGCCTTGGGAATGAGAGCTCGAGTTTGCAGGAAGGCGGGCGAGGAGGGGAGCCGTGGGGCACGGCGGGACGGAGGAGCAGCGGATGGAAACCATGGGGTTTTCCTCGTGCTCGCTGAGCTTCAGAAGCTGGGGCTGTTTGTAGGGTGCGGGGTTGGTAGTGCTGCTGTCTCCCTGCCCGGGGTCTGTGCTCCGTTTGTAGGTGGTTGTTTCAGGCAAATGTTTCAAGGGCGTTGTGGGTTTATCAGGTATAATCTGCAATCAGTTAAAATATAAACTTCAGATTCACCCTGGTTGCGCCAGCGAGTCCTGGGGGGAGAAGGAGGCGCGGGAGCTGGTGAAGGAGACCGCCCGTTTCTCCCGTGCGTCGCCGTTTGCTCAGCGCGACGCAGTGGCTTCAAACGACGGCCGTGCCTCACACACACGTGGAGGGCTTCTCTGAAGCCTCCTGTTTCACTTCTCTCTCGTGGGACTCAGCAGCCCCTCAGGTGGCTTCTCACACCACGCGGATGCCGCACGAGGCACAGGCCGCCGTGGGGCCGGAGCCCGCGGCGCTCGCTGGCCTCGCTCCCAGCCCCTCGGAGCGTCCGCAGGGCCCTGCAGGCCTCGCTCGGCAGGAATCCCCACTGCTGGAAGCCAGCCCCAAACGTGCTCCGAGCCGCTGCCTGTGCAGACCCGCGGTGTCCCCAGCAGCACCCACAGCCCCGGGGCCGGGGCCCCAGCGCCCGCTGCCCGGTCCTGCCCGCCGCGCTCCCCCTCTGACTGGTCTTTGTGTCTATTTTCAATCCCCCAAACAGGTCCAGGGGGCAGGTTTCCGCGGCTGGAAAGAAGTAACCTCTATGTTCAACAAAGACGACGAACAGCAGTTGCTCGCGGGATGCAGGTCTCCAAAATCCAAAGGGTGAGTGGGCCGGGGCAGGTGCTCTGGGAGAACGCGGCGGAGTTGATGTTGATGCCCGCTTCAAAATCCATGCTTTGCACTTACAATGAATCATATATGCACCACGAAGAAGGACACTTACTGAACATCTTTCTTTTTATGTGTATTAGGAGGAAAAGGAAACTCAGCTGCATTTCTTCAAAATTATTTATTTATTTATTTTACTGTAGAGAAGAAATAAAGGTTTCTGAATCAAAGCCTTCTCCTCTATCCCTGAGGGATAAATCATGGTCGATTTTAGGAATTACCTTCTCTACTTGCTTATCTCATCTTTGAGATTGCCTATACCCAAACGGAATAAGCCGTGTAGCTGTACCAGCTTCTTTCCTGTTGGAGCTGAAGTATTTGCTTGGCACAGTGTATCTGCTGGTGTAATTAAGGGTAATTTCCTGAACAGGATAGTCTGTCCTAGGAAGAGGTCTGTTCTGCAGTTACATCAGGTGTGTATAGGTTGGATGAACATAATTACCTTCGTTGCACGTAGGAAGAAAAGAGCTACCTATTAGTGTATCTGCCCAAGTGGTATGTAGGCTTTGAGATGTGCCATAGTATGTTTTGTTTCCGTGTTGAATAATGTGTTTATATACGCCACATATTTGCAGTATAAATACATTTCCCTTCCATTTTGAGCCTGTTTTATTAAACGACTTCCAAAGAGCTTCCAGCTACAGTCTGTCCCGTTGTATAGGTGTTGAGAGCCTAATTTGCATTAAAGATCTTTGGAAATTGAAGCTGAAATGTAAGAATAAAAGAATCCACTTTAAGTTTAAACTCGCCCATTGATGATGCTGTTTGCATAACTTTTAATTTGTGAAGAGCGTATGTGTAATATGGTAACTGTGGAAATTGTATATATTTTAGACTTTTTTTTGTCTTTTTGCCCATAATAATAGCCCACTTTTTCTATTTTATTATTAAAATAAAAAATGAGGTTTGTTAAGTCTTCTAGCCTCAGAATACAAGGGAAGTGTGTGGGCTCCATGGCTCTGAAAATTCTGAAATACCTACTCCTAGATTTGAAATTTGTTAATGGAAAAAATTGTTAAAAATGTAGGCTATTTCTATTTAAATAACGTAATGTCAAGCTGCTTATTTCAGGTGTTCCTTAATGAGAAACAGCTCTTTCAGCAGTAAATTCCTGTTTATTTAGTTATTTTATTTTGTGGCAAGGGAATTTGTACATTAGTAGCATGTGATGTTTTTCAGTTTGCTGTTCAGGGTATTGAACCCTGAAGGTTGTGTCTGTCCCCCCGATACTGCAGTTTTCCTTGTGCCTTGTGCATGTACAGGCCTGTCTATGCACTGAAAATATGAATTAATTCAGATTGAAGATTCTTAGTAGGGAAGGAACATCAGGAATAGTCTGTAAAATTTTCTCTTAGGGAAATTAGTATCCTTGTAGTTGTGGGTTTTTCCTTTTATTTTGGGGGGAGAGAGGGGTTTTGTTGGTTTCCTCTGGAAGAACAAAACTGTTGTCAAAATATTGTGCAGATCCCTCTTTAAGAGGGGAAAATGGTATCTATAAAATGGTAATAATGTACATCAAATATTTTAGGGTGTAAGTTAAAACTTGGCAAGGTGGTAACTGGTACGAAAAACCGACAAGAATAGTGAGTGGGTGTTAAAGCCAGCAGCAGAAAAAATATCTCCATAAACCTCCTGTGATCCTCGTTGTAGTTTTTGTTTGTTTTTCAAAGTCCTCAATTGTACTAGTGCATGTTAAAATACTTGGTGCACTTCCAAAGGCAGCTCTGTGTAATTCACTGGAGAGGAGGGAAAAAAAATAAGAAAAGCTGTGGCTTGTTTAATATCAGCAAATGGTCATGTCCTGTTATCCCTGTGACATCCTGCTCTGCTCAGGTTTACAAGAAGTTTTTCCTGATGCTGATGGTACTGGATTTAAGTATTAAGATTTAAAATGACGCTTTTTTGTTGAGAAAAAATTTAAGGTTCCTTACTAGAAAGTATAATAAATGAATTGAAATGTATTAATGGCTATTGGATAGGCTGTTAGATTGAGAAGCTGCATTATTTGACAGTGAAATTCTGGAAATTTTAATAATTGCCTCATCATTGTTATTTTCCAGAACAAACCTCAAGTTAAAGGAGGAGATGAAGTCAGAAAAGAAGCCAGGATTTTGGGACAGTTTGGTGATAAAGCAGAACGTCCAGTCTAGGAAACCAGACGAGATTGAGGGATGGGAACCGCCGCCCATCACTGCTGCTGCCCCTGCCGGCGACGCGGCAAGCACTTTAAGTGACTGTTCAGCCTGGTCGGGCTGGGAGGAAGAAACCAAAGGCTCCACCAAATACACGAACCTGGCGAGCTCAGGAAACAGCTCCAGGTGGAGCATCAAGTCAGCGGGGAAGCTGGTGAGCATTAGACGGCAGAGCAAAGGTAACTTAACTGACAACTGGGAAGAACTAGAGTGATGCTGGTGACGTGAAGGGCTTTATAAGCAGGAGGGAGGTTCCTTGATATTTACTTGTGTGTTGAAACCAAAATCGAATCTGCTCAATATTGCACCTTTATACAGTACTTTGTTTTATTCAGATTGTTGCAAATTTTTGCTCACCTGATAGTGAATTTTCTTATTACATTGTTAAATACCTGTTTTCCACACTGAAAAAAAAAAGAAGTAGAGAATCTATTTTGTGCCTATATTTCACATTCAGACTCTGCAGTACGTTGGGTTGTTGGTTTTACCAAAAAAAAATGTAATTCCTTAGTGAATGTATACACTGGTTGTAAATTTGGCTGCCTTATGTAGGAACTTCCACTAGCTTGAGGTCCTGTTTTTGTTTGTTTTCCTGAGATTGGAGGGTCACTCAAAATGTTAGTTTTGATGCTGTCCCTTTTTTAGTAAGAATACTGCTGTGTAGCTTGCAGGAAGAATGCTTGTACTGAGCACACTGTTTGGTGACTCCTGAGCCCCAGCCTATGCTCCAGCTTGTGCACACGATGCTCCACTGTCCAAGCAAAATGGGAAAATCCTGCTCTGAAGTCACTGCCTCCTTCGCAGGAGCTTCACCAAGAGTCAGCTCAAACGGGTCTTCCAAAGCTTTTTATACTGAACGTTGTTTGACATAGCTAAAATTTTCAGTTTTTAAGAGACATGTCATGCCAAAAAACCTGAAATGTAAATAATTATTGCGAATCTGGAAAGCGGCGGTGAGTCGGGAGCCTAAAGCATCTCTGCGTTGAGGATGTGTAGCCCCGAACCTCGGGGTAGGTTACTGCTTATGGAGGGTGTATGTCCTCTGTTTTACAACAGCTGGTGCTTGTTCTGTGAGTGTTTGGCTTTCCTTTCCTATAAGCTGTGATGGAATTGCACTCCAGCATTTTCAGGATACCTGAGCCATTGCAAGCAAGTGCATGCACGTGACTTCAGAAGCTTTTCTTATTATAAAGCTTAGCTACCGATACTTTCCTTTTTGGTAAAAGGGGGCAAAGCGTTGGACTAGAGATTTGGAATGTATATAGGATACTAAAAGTGCCTCTTTCTAGCATCTTGTCTCTCATTAGCAGGGTGGTCAAGGTCAGATGTGAAACTAGTTTCCGCTTTGTTGCTGTGGCCCCTGTAAGGGCTGGTTTATCTCTCATGGGAAAAGATCCGCCCCTGCCAAATGAGCCCTGGGACCTTTCTCTCCTGATCCTTAAACTGGCAAAACGGAGCTGAAACTTGCTGGCTGCTTAGCAATGCGGCTAGGACTGCGGGAAGATCCAGTTAGCTTTGGATGAAGTCAACCTTTTTACAAGAAAGCAGGTATCTTTATATGTAGTGGCCATCCAGTAGGCTTATTTTTACAAGATGATGCTGTTGAGAAGGGACGCGTGCCATTTTCTTCTAAGCCTGCAGCTTGTCCTGCTCGACTCCCTTCCCGCTCGCTCCAGCTGCACGCGTGCCCCTTGGCTTGCAGCTTCTCCATAGCTGTTCCCTGGGCTTTCCTTCCTGGCGTGCTTGGAGGGACACTCTAGCAAGGTCACCACCACCAGGTAGGTACAGGACACCTACAACACAGGGGTCTGCCTGTTGCCGCTTGCAGGCTGTTGGGATACATTGCTTTCCAGTTACATGAAGGATCACTAGCGTTTCATGCTAGGAACTGGATCGGGAAGCTGGCAGAAGCTTCTCTAAACGCGGCATTGCAGGTTGTATTTTAGAAAGATCCTCCTAGGGGAGAAAGGGTTGGTGTTTAGGCTGTGTCATTTAGGCTGCAAGTGAAACTCCGCTTACCCTGGGCAAGTCCCAATGCTGAGGTTAACGGTGGAAAAGAATTGGTGCTCCTGGGTGGGGAATGCGGCGTTTTCCAGCCTCGGGAACCCTCTCAAGCCGGGCAGGTGCCCAGCTGGAGAGGCCGCCCTCGCGTTGCGCTCCGAGGCGGGCCGCGAGCCCCAGGCTTCCCTCCCCACGTAGCTGTTCCTGCTGTGACCGGCAGAGGTTTTGCCTCGCACATTATCCTGCCAAGTGCCTGTCTCTCACCTTGACCGTGTGTTTCGTGCACAGCTCGACTGCAGAATTCTCCCGTTTGTTTTTAAAGCCACCGTAAAGAGCGCGCGTGCAACGCTGAAGCCTGTTACGGAGCAGAGCGGCCTCCATGGGGAAGCGCAGCGGCGGCCTCGCGGTGTGCCTCCCAGCCACGTAAACCCGGGTGTGCTTTTTAAGTGCTGTTTCCTCAGAAAGAACCATTTTAAGGATGAACCTTGTTAAATTTAATATAATTTATTGTTAGGCTTTGGTAACGTGTTTGTCTTTTGAGAGCTCACCGGTGTGAGCTTTCTGCTGTGTCCATAAGCCTGTTTGTCTGCATCTTCCGAGTGGGGTCTGCTTTTCTTTTACCTTCTTTCAGTGCTTAATTACGTTTATGGGCTTGACTATCACAACTCCCTATGTGGAATAAGTGTAAAATATGTCCCTTAATACTTGTTTTGAACTTGCATTTCAATCTTTGTGAAACGGTTTAGAAGAAGATAGCATTAAGATTGTATAATAAGATTGCACAAGATAAAATATAGTTTATATTGCTTTCTCGTAGCCAATCTGCATGATTGTTGGCGTGGTTTTAATGGGAATTACAAGCTTCATGTGGCTGTAACTAGTCACTTAACTCTAAGCAAAGTTCTCTCTGGGTATTTTTATTTATTAGCATAATTTGCAAAAAAAAAAAATAGTATTTTCCATATGAATAAAGATTTAGTTTGAACTGAAGTGCCTGCCCTTCGGTGTTTTGATTCTGCTGCTCCCGTCACCACAGGGGGCACCCAGGGCGCTTTGGGGGACACTGGCTGAGCCCTGAGGATCCCCCTCGTTCCATTGCTCATTCCATTCTCGGGAGGAATTCACTGCAAATACTCCGTTTCCCTGCAGCCGGTGGTTCAAGCAGTTCCCGTAATCCTTGCTGCCCGTTGAGGGGCTGGGGCAGAGCGGCTCCGCGCCGCGCGTCCCCGGCCACGCCACGTTGCGGTCCCCCAGCCCGAACGTACAGCTGCTTTCTGCATTTCTAGATCATTCCTAACGTATTTTTATTGTTTTTTTCCCCCCCGGACGTGTGCTAGCTGGACCTCGACACTCAGACATCAACGAAATGAAAGCAGAGCTATGAAGAAGAAAAAGACTTTCTTAAAAGACTTGGCCACCAGTGATAAAGTTTGCAAAGGCTTCAATTATTAAGTGTCTGTCTCTTTGTTGAAAGCTGCTTGTTTGCTCTGTACCCTGAAAGATGGGGAATTGAAGAGGAAAAGCAAAAGTCCTAAGTTTGGATATTGCAAGGAGATGGTCACACTTACTGTGAGTGCAACCAGCACAACAGCAGGGAATGAAATACAAGTTCTTTTTTCTACAGTTGTAAAGTAATAGTGTGGAAAAAATAAGGATGTAAATAGTAATAGAGAATAACATGGAAATATATAATAGTAAGCCAAGTTTAAGGAGGTAATAGCTGTTCATAGGGTATTTGCAAACTTCTGACAGTGATCTTGGGAAAAAAATAATATTTGTTTCTGCGTTTGGAAAGAAAATCCTTCCAATTTGTGCCCGGTGTTTAGAAAACAATGCAGGATAGCTGCTCTTTTCAGCTCTGTAACAGTCCAGTAAAAGTTTGTCTGATGCTCCAAATTTTAACCTCTTGAGTGAAGGTTTAATAACAGATCCTGAATACAAGTTGGAAAAGAAGATGCATAGCCCTTTGCAGAAAAAAGTGGCAAGGCCATATTTCCCAGACCTAGTTTGTCTATAGGTGAAAACAATCGTGGGCCTTTTTGCTATCTAGTTGTATTGAGAAAATTAACTGAACAGTCAGGTTCCCCAGAGAGTGAACTGATCCAGAGATTGATTAATGGTTTCATGCCAAAACAAGTCCGATTTGACAGAACCAGTAAACAGAACCCGTTCGTGGAGTGGGCGAAGCCTTTCCGCGTGGGATGTCTTCTACCCCTGGCCCTGGAGACTGCAGGTGCTGGAGCTGCGGCCGCCTCCTCGTGTTGGCTCCACAGGTCCAATGTGGCTGCGAACGTGGCTCGTGCTGCAAAGACAGCGGCAAACGGGCCCTAACACGTTCACTCACACAGGGAGTATCCAAGCACCTCACCAGGGAGCAGGACACAAAGCAAGGACACATGGATCCAAAATCTAGGCACACTACCTAGTGTAATTGTTCTTTGCTGATAAAGCTTTTGGATATTTATGTGCATATTAGTTAATATTAACTGTTCTGAGCTCTGTTTTAGTGTCTGCCGCTTGTAGCAATGTAGACTTCCATGCCATGTAATCACAGAGCTCTTCCCTGCCCACGTGAGGACCCAACGCTTTGCTGTTTGTGTCATGAGTGACACATTTTTAGGCAGACTTGCATTCGGCCTGTAAACAACTTCTCCTTGGAACACTGGGACAGAAAGCTGGCAACCTGCGCTTGACAGGACAAACAAAGGAAAATGAATCAAGCATCATTTTCCATTAGGAAGTAAAGCATTGTTTGATAGGATGAACACAAGATTTCCGAAGCTGCCACAAGTCAGGCGTACCACCAATGCGGTAGCATCACACAATGGCTGAGGTTGGAAGGGACCTCTAGAGATCATCTAGTCCAACCCCCCTGCTCCAGCAGGGACACCCAGAGCACGGGGCACAGGGCGGCATCCAGGTGGGTTTGGAAGACGTCCAGAGAAGGAGACTCCACAACCTCTCTGGGCAGCCCGTTCCAGGGCTCTGTCACCCTCAGTCAAGAAGTTCCTCCTCACATGGAGATGAAACTGCCCGTGTTTCAGCTTGTACCCATTGCCCCTTGTCCTGTCGCTGGCCACCACTGAGGCCACCACCTCACAAGGCCTTTTGAGAGTCCGAGACTAAAACATCCTTTTTGTTATTTCTAAACCACAGTGTAACTAACTTTTGGAGTCCAACAGTTACAGAAGATTGGCTCTCCTCATGGTCCCAGCTCTGTCTTTACCCCGGGGTTCAGGCCCTGTCAGCATCTGTGCTTCATTGTCACCAGCCACAGTAGGTTGGCACAAGTGAGGAAACTCCCCTGAACCGTTATTGGGGGGACAAAAAAAAGCATCTTTGCCTCTACATTGCAACAAGCTGAAAACTACCTAACAAGTAAGTGGTGTCAAGGTGTGTTCCTGCTCACGACCTCCCGATCCGGTCTGTCCCTCCCGCGCGCGCGGCTGCCGCCCACAGGCCTTGCTTGCTGCCGCGAGGCCTATTCCGAGGCAGGCCAAGGAGAAGATTTTTCCAGCTTTGGGGAACAAAGCGCAATATAAAGAGAAGTAAGAAGTCCTGAACATCTGAGAATATTTTTGAAGAACGGGGATTTAGTGTGAGAGAACCAGAGCTAGCCCAGAACACATTTTTGGTTGGTTGGTTTTCTGGTTCATGACCAGCTGGGAGGACCAGCAGGGCACAGGTCCACACTCAGGTTTGGAGTAGCGCTAGCACAGCACGATGATCTTGGCAAGCACTTTTCCACACCTAATCTGTACTGCACTTCTAAATGAGACCTACTTGGTCCAACATGAGGTAAGTGTAGGTGCAGATGTAGAAGGCAAGCTCTGAACAACATCATAGGCTTGAAAGAAGGTGTCTGTTCAACAGCACCCAACAAAGACTTCAGTGGTGGTAGTAGGATCAAATTACTGGTTTATTTGAACTGAAAAGATTCTGGTCTTCAAGTATTGGACTTGGAGCTCTCCCTCTGCTCTCTGAGATCTCTAAGATTAAGAATGTCCTTCCCTCTTTTCCTTGAGATCCCTGGTTTTAGGTCTTGCTTGTAGTTTTGTTTTCCTCATCTAGAGACAGTTTAAATCTGCCTCATACTCATGCATTGATCACATGAACTGGCTTTCAGTTTTTCTGGTTTCCTCTCAGGTATGACCCAGATTTTCAAAATGCCCAAGAAAGATGCAAGCCAAATTCTCCTTCTGCACTTTAATTTTCATCTCTCAAACACTCTTTGAGTTTCTCTTCACCATCACTGCTTCTGGGATATCTTTTTATTCAGGTTGGTTTTACCTCTTTAACCAAGTAAATACTCCCAGCAGTTCATCATCCCTCATTAATTTTTGGTTTTGGTGATTTCCTCATTAGTGCCACAATTCTTGGTTTGTGTGTGTGTTTTTCATCCCTTTTGTTGGATGAATTACACACTAGAGGTTGGATTTTTTTTTAATTATATTTCTTCTGCTTGCATATCTATCTGTCTGTCTATCTATCTATTTATTTTGAAGCATTACTGAGAACTTGCCCATTTGGGAAAAGAAGAGAACGTGATCGGAGCGTTCTGTGTGCCTGGGCTCCACCTCCTGCTTCCTGATACCCTGTGTTGAGCAATGGGAAACTGTAGGAGTCTTCGTAGACTTACAAATGGGGACAGATCCTCAGAAGGCACCTGTAGAAGGCGCCTGTAGAAGGGCCTCTTGTGCAGCACCACGTGGAGCAGGGTGTCAGCTATTCCCATGGCTTGAAGACTATGTGCAGTGAGTGGAAGCCCTCGCAGGGCTTTAACAGGGTCCGAGTCACAGCCTGGTCCATCAAAGGGTCCATTGGCTACCCGTGGCTACCCGTGCAGCGAGCAACACCGACCTGCTTAACGTGCTGCTGCCCAGTGGATGTTTGAGCTCTGTGCATAGGGTAAGGAGAGGAGAAGGGCTGCAGAACACTAAGGATCAGCCCATGCACTGAAGCAGTCAGGAAATACAGCACAGTCATGGGCTAGAAGCTGTAGATTCTGTAGAATCACAGAATGGTTGAGGTTGGAAGGGACCTTTAGAGATCATCTAGTCCAACTCCCCTGCACATACAAGGTCACCTAGAGCATGTGGCACAGGGCTACATCCAGGCAGGTTTTGAAGACCTCCAGAGAAGGAGACTCCACAACCTCCCTGGGCAGCCTGTTCCAGGGCTCTGTCACCCTCACTGTTAAGACATTTTTCCGTAAGGTCCCGTGGAACTTTTGGTGCCTCAGCTTGTGGCCATTCCCTCTAGTCCTATCCCTGCCCACCACTGAAAAGAGGCCGCCCCCTCCTCCTCGCTGCCTCCCTTGAGGTATTTATAGACACTGATCAGGTCCCCCCTCAGCCTTCCCTTCTCCAGGTTGCACTGCTGCATGATGTTGAAGGATGTTTACTTCTGGTGGCTTTTAAAAGTTCTTCTCTTATAAATAGCGAAGTTCTAAAGGGATATTGTCATGTTAAGAAGGGGACTGCAGGTTTACAACTTCAAAAGTCTCTGATAAGGTCTATAAATAGCTGTGCCTGAGGGAATGAGGGCGACTGAAGGGGGAGAAGCGCCTCCAGCATGCAAATGTTTTTCCTATAATCTAAGCACCGCGGGGAAGGACAACTGACTTCAGCAAATGAATTATTCTTCCATTACCACTTAGGCTTTCATAGCATAGGATGGAGAGCAGCCAGGTGGAAAGAGTGTATGAAAGTTAAATAGTGCTTCCAGCCTCAGGTAAATTCAGAATTAAGCAGTGGCTGCGTGTGCCTTGGGAAGGGCCAGAAAGGCTTTTCCAGCTGAAGGCGCAATGACCAACTGCCTGCAAAGTGCAACAAACGTAAAACCGAACCTCTTTTACTCCCAGTTGTACAGGGACGTACACACAAAGAAACCTGAGGGGAAAGTGACTTGTTTGCTGAGTATCAGCACTGGATTGTCTGAAGAGCAGAGCGCAGACTGTGGCACCTGGCAGGGAAGGCGCCAGGCGCAGCGGTGGCTCTCGCCTCACCCATGTTCCAAGCGAGGGCTCCCAAGGGTCTTTCGGGTCTTTGGGTGCAGCCTTTAACAAGCATGAAAAGTCATCTCTGTCCTCCTGAACGTTGCAGGGGGAATTAAGTTGCACTCAGCACTGAGCCTTGCAGCTGGAAGCACGGACAGGGTTATAAAGAAATAATTAGCTCAAGTTCACTAACCTGAATTGTAATTTAACAGTGTTTCCCATTTGCTATTGCAGGAACATTTGTGATTTGAAGCTGTGGTCTTAACTGGGCACTTGGCACAAAGAGGGAAAAAGTAGGAAAGCCCTCCCTTTGGCAGGAGCCCTTGTTGGGGGGGACAGGCCGGGGCAGGAGGGCCTGGCCCCAGGCAGAACGCGGCTCAACTGCTGCCCACTGCTCCAGTCCTGCCCCCAGCGGGAACGTTTCATTACTAGATACAAGGGGAATATTGTCAGTAGCAAAGACCACGGAAGGCAGGATCTGTGCAGGTTATTTCCCACCACACTCCACCCCCACCAGCTGTTTTTATTTAGGTGGGATTCAGTGGGAGCCCCTCGTGCTGCCCAGGTACCTGCTGTGGCACTTGGAGCCCCAGCTCCGCACGGGGCCCTGCAAGACGAGGCCCCGGTGCTGCTGCTGCATGAGGAGGGCAGGCTCTGCCTCTGCTGCTGACACCCCCATGCTGTGAACATACAGGCACGCTTATGCATGACAGATCCAGGGCTCAGGATAAAAGCTATGGAGCAACGGAAGGCTGGGAGGAGGCAGCAAGGTTGTGCCTGCAGGGCTGGCGCTGCGGGAGGACACGGGGCTGCAGCCGGGTAAGGTCTCACCTCAGGGCTTACCAGCTCAGCATCCTGATCGCCTACAGCACACGCTTCAAGTTATATGGTAACTGTGCAAAGGGCAATGAGATTAATGCTGGTGGTCAAAACATGCTCTTTATAACAGGTGTGCTCTTAACAAGATCATTATCCTAAAGCTGAAATCCCCTCCTACCTTAGTAAAGGGGGAAACTATTGATCACAATCACTCCCTTAGTCCTTTGCTTAGGGGACACAGTTAAAATGGTTCCTGTCACACAGCTGATGAATTCACACCACGTAACCCCTTTCAATCAAGTTCTATTTGCCCAGGCTAAGAAAACTCTGCCAACCCCATGACGCTGGGGAACGACTCCCAAAGCTTTGCTGAGCACTGCAGACATGCACCGCTGCTCACAAAACCGAGCCTGCCCTTGAAGCCTTTATTTAAGTCAGAAATAAATAAAAGCCCCGCACTGAACTGCTGCTTGCGCTGCTCACCTCTCCCTTCTCCAGTCTGAGCAGGTGCGAAAAGCCAGCTCCCTGTAAAGGCCTTTGGAGCAGAGCACGGAAATCCCTCTCCAAGGAGTTGGATGTTTCACTGCCCTCAATGGCCTCCACCCAGAGCAAAGCTCCAGCCCTCACCTCCATGCTGCTAAGAGGGAGCAGAGCAGCAGCAGGGGAGGTGAAAGGAAGATTCTTACAACCTGGCATTTGTAAGAGACCTGAAAGTTATTGCAAACACTGGCATTCCAAACTTAAAAGACATCGAGTGATTCCTTCCTCTCCTAACCTAGGCAGCGAGGCTGGCAGCAGCAGCACCCTGCAGGAGGCAGCGGGAGGGTCGAGCTGTGGTGGCTCTGCACCCTGTGCCGCAGGAGACGAGCCCCTGCCCTCCTCCCCTTGCCCCCTGCAAGGCTGCCTCGACAGCCGATACCTCACCTGAAAGTCCCTTCTGATAACTCCTCCTGCTCTACAGCCTAGTGGGAGATTAAAATAGATAAATATATATATTTTAAACAGGATAGCTGGTCTGTAAATAAAACAAGTTAAGGGAAAGCAGGGTCATTCAGGCTGCTTGCATTTCTCTCCCTGTTAGCCATTACAAAGAAGAGTTTACAGAAAAATATCGTGTTACAAAATGCAAGTGGATTCATCTCTATGCAAGAGACATTTCTAGGAATGATAAAAACATGATTTATTACACTGTATACAGAGCTAGATTCAAAACAAGGCAGTGCAGAAGATAGCACATTATTTATTTTTTCGGTAAATTACAATATTAAGTCTCATTGACAAAATCAAAACCCCACAAATTTTTCCTAAATCTGCCTAAGCCTCACAATTACTTTCATTTCACAGAATAGAAGACAGCTTCCTGGAGAATTTATTATCCGACTGCCCAGCTCAGACCAACTTCTGGGGTTTCCCAAAGCTCACAGCAACTTGTCAGGTTAGAATGTCCCTTGGCAGCATTAATGCATTGCCACTGGAGCAGCCTAGAAACAAGCAACTCAATTTTTGTTAAATTGCTGTAACACCTCCTATTTAGGAGATGCATTAGTTCAACATTAAACAGAGTATAAATGAAGGTTTTGCTACTGTCAGAAAAATCCATTATTTTGCAGCAGCCCCATATCTGACCCTTGGATTATGACCTATTGTAGCACATCCTATATATGTCATTTAATAAAGTCCTTATAAGAAAAATAAATATTTTTGCATAATGTATGTACAAATATTGGCTTACTTCATTTATAGGTTCAATGACAGATAGCCACAGCTATATTTATCCTCTAGATCTATGATTAGTGCCACCTTGGTAATTCAGACATTATGAGTCCAAGACAATTCCAGGCTAGTCTTCATAATGGTACAAATTATATGGAAGTGCCTTGAAAACCAAGGCTTCAAGAAAGAAGAAAGGACTAACAGAAAATTCCTTTGGTCCCTGTAAGAATAGCTTAAGTCTTCCACATAGTTTTAACCAGCTATTAAGGCAGTGAAAGAATGGATTTCAAGTTGAGATTAAAATAGTCTTCCTTGGACTCAGAAGTCATCCACTGCAGGTCTTTCCTAGCGAGGTTTTGCTCTGCTTTAGCACGTGTCCCTCTCCTCAGCTGTTTTCTGAGCAACATCCACACAGAATAAGCCTGTCCAATAATAACCCAACATAACTTGAAACCACAACAAAACATAACACTTAATATATTGCACAAAAAGCATAACGTATCCTGCCCAGCTCTTCACGAGAGCGGCCACGAAGAGCAGCACGCGCCTAGCGGACGTCTCAGAACTTGAAGAGATCAATGAAGTGCTGAGGAGACACCGGCATGAGACACGTGTCGGGATCACTGGCAGTGCAGGGGTGTCCCGTGTCCTGCAAGATGAAAGGGGAAAGATGTAAGTTCCCTTTTCAGAGCCATGCTCCCTCCTCTCCCCATCCCCGGTAAAACAAAACAACAGGCACATGCAAGGGCATCCACTATAGCAACCTAGTGAGCTCACCCTCCCCCAACCTGCATTTCTCAAACCCTGATGGGTCAAGATACGATTTTTCTCAAGAGCTCTAACTGAAGAGGTTTCGTAGGCAGGGGAAGCTGGTCATTTTCTTGCCATCTGAAGCTGTCTCCCAACACAACCTTCGAAGTGGAAGGATCCATTTCCTACAAATGTCTTGTCTAAAACAGTTGAGAAATGGGTGTCTAAGAGCAAAAGCCTTGTTAAACCTGAACTGACTTTGCCCAACACAAACCCCAAATCAACTTGGCCTTCAGAAGGAAAGGCCACAGACACCTCCCCAAAAGCTCCTTTCAAGCCCACACCAGGAGAGCTCCAGGCGGCTCTGCTGGGCACCCTCCTGACCATCCTCCTCCTCCTCCTCCTCCGTAGCCCTTTTCCAGCTGCAGCTCTTGCCTCCATGCAGCAGTCTGCAGCCCAGCGAGCTAGGGCTGCACTGACACCACGCACAGAGGAGGGAACTGCCTCGGTTACTGTCACTGACAGGACACATCCTGGCATCGTTTTAGCAAGGGTCTCATTTAGCAGAGATTACTGGGGGGTGAAGTCTGTAAAATGAGTACAGTAGGAACATTAATTCATCTGTCCCTCATTCCTCACAGTTTAACTTCCTTTTGGTTCATTAGAGCTACAGCAACATCCTCAGGAAGGCACTCTGTACAGCTAACACCATCAGAGAAAGAATATAAAAAAATCCCCTTTTGTTCTACTCTCCTTATTCCATTAACAGTACAGGGAACCCATTAACAGCATTAATAACTCCAGGACCACAATTCACTGTAATCATTGAGTTGCAAACAGCAGTAGGACCCACTAGCAGAAGGTGTCAGCCCTGTTTTTGCCCTCCCAGAGCCCGGCACGAAGCAGCAGCGAGAAGCAGCTCTTCTCCTGCACTGCACAACCAACAAGCAGCAGTCGGGGCAAAACAAGCTCAAAGGCATGAATTGCAACGTGGAAATGTCTGCAGACAAACCCCTTGGCGCTCACTGACTCTAAGTTTCATGTAGCTCCTTTGGCTCATGGCAAGTAAAATAAGTAAAAAGGCTTCCACAACACAAATCAAGTCTGCAGCTTTTACTTTAATATTACAGAAACTTGAACTCAGCACAAGAGCCAGACTATTCATCAAGCTCATGTTATAATGCAAAGTTATACGTTAATGGACTCTCTCCACTGGAGGAAAACGCTGCAGTTTTAATGTGAAGGTCCCACATAGTTCACTGGAGAAGTGGACTGTCTTGAACAATATGATGTTCAACGTAATGAGCTCAACCTGTCCTTCCTACATTTCAAGGGGCTTCTGTCTTTTCCTACTAGTGCTGATGGACTAATTTATCACATAGGGAAAGCAAGCCAGAACACAGATCACAGCCCACTGCAGTCTTCGTTTCTTTTGCTTCCCCATGAGAGGAAGTTATATGCAATATTATACAGTTAATAGAAGGACAGAGCCTATACGTGGAACTTCTGACTCTGAAACTCAGGTGAGGAAGGTCCTGTGAAGATGTCTCCCTCCCTTCCCATCTTTATAACATGTTAGCTCAAACTTGTATTCTAGACATTGTTCAGCTTTTCAAATGGAATTTCTTATTCCATTTGAAACAGAATACAGTTAGAAGGTGTGCTTTTCATCAGCCTATTGATGACAATACAAAAGTATCGTGCAATCCAAACGCCTCATCCTCCCCGTTTTCGATTATCACCTAAGAACCAGGTGTTAATGACAAACAGGTAAAAGAAAACTGAAAAAAAAAAAAAAAAAAAGGCAACTCCAGACAAATCAGACAGCAAGTGGTGCTGCCAAAGCAAAATATATGCAAGGAAAGAACAGGCAAAAGACCAGAAGTGCTGACCAGCACCTTCACCTTGAGGTGACATCTGCAAGGGAGAGACTCAGTGGCAGAAACACATGCTCTCAAAGTACTTGCTAACGGTACCACCTTCTCTCCCCATGGCCATGCGTTTCATTTCCCAGTTGCCAGGAAAAACAGCAGAGTTCGGATGCAGGGAAAGCAGCTGGGGTTTCCACTCGTCCTTTACTGCTTATTTATGCTCATAATTGTAAATGCACCCTTTGGCTTTAGTCTGTAATATGCTGTATGCTTTACTCTGCACTGATCACTTCTCAAAGCTCTGCTCTGTCAGGAAGCACAGCTCTGATTTGAGCATAAAGAGCAGTGTTAAATTTAATGAACCTTTTCCTCCAAGAAAGAACGCTCAAGGCTACCTGATTTCTCTTGCTTCTTAATAGAACTTCCGATTCATATCACTTTTCTTCCCATTGAATTGCGCTTTCCATTGATTAAAGTTTCACTAAATTTAACACTGCTCTTTATGCTCAAATCAGATTTCTTTCAATAAGTCTACTTGAAACTAAAGCCATAATTTGTTTTAATTAACAAAAGAATTCACCATGAAAAGCATTTGCTGACAAATTGTTTTCCTTCTCAAATTATCCTAACTGCCAATGATGTTCCCGTCACATCCCTGGAGCTACAGTCCTTTACTGGGTAGTTATTCATATAAACTCCTCACTCAGAAAAGGCTGCAACTGCCTCCCCTCCATCCTGATCCCTCCCCAGCCATATGGGGTTTGTTTGGGAGTCCTGTCAGAGCTAATCATTCATAAGCCTAAGCGTGATTTAAGTATTCCAAGTGCAGTAAAATTCATTTTATTACCCTTGAATAAAACAAGCTCTTCGACATCCATGGTATTGTTTTCCGATTTAAGTGCTAAATTAAATACATCAGGGAGCACAGAAACAGCTTCAAATGCTCAGCACAGGGAAAGCTCTTCCTTGGTGAATCTAATTTCACTGACACCTGCACCTATTTTCGTAAGATGATGAATTACGATCCTTAGTTCAAATAGCATTAAACAAAGGGAAAATACTTCAATAATAACAAAAAGATGAAGAGGAACTAAGATGGAAATTCACCACTACCTTATCTGAATGGGTTACTGGGAACACACTATTTCTGCTGCTAAACTGATAGGAACAAAATGCCTATTAGGTGACTAGAGGTGAACAGCTCGTTCAGTCTGGCATTACAGAGCAATCAGCAGCGAAAGCAGAGATGAGACACACACGAAATACCTTGAGTAGCAAAGCAAGGTGGTAGTCCTTTGAGACCAGGAAGGAGGGAGCAGCAAGGAGAGCCGTAAAGCAAAAGAAGCAGAGTTAGGGTTTGCTGGACCGTGCCACACAGAACGAGTCTTTTACAGAGCATTTTGTGTGAGGTGCTTCTCGCAGAAAGCCAGTCGGTTGGGAAACCAGAACCATCATGGGCTCTGCTGAGACTGAAACCAAGTGTGGACCATATCACATGGGTTAAACAAGTATCTCATTACATAAACTCCCAGATTGTGACAGAAAATGCATTTCAACTATTTTCTATATCCATCTCAGGTAATTGATATATTATTCAGTTAGCCAAGCACGAGAAAACAGAAGAATTGCCCACAAAGGTAATGCTGGCTAGTAGAAGAGTTAGGAAAAGCACCATATAAACAAGCATCATCAGTTAACAACATTAGATGTCATTCTTTTTACATTTCAAATAAATTATATATTTGGCTCACTTACAGTGTGGACAAATCCCTTAAAAAAAGCCTCTTCTCAAAAACAAAGGTCATCTGATACGGAGAATTCTGCGTACAGTCATTCCTTTTTTCATAGAGGAGGATACAAGCTAGCTGATTTATCACTGTAGTTCCTATGATGAATTTAGCAATCTCCTTTTTACTTTATTTAGTATTACTGTGGTCAGAAGTTTTAAACACAATCAACAACCTTAAATGTTGCTTGGACCTAGAGGTCCCTTCCAACCTTGAATATTCTGTGATTCTGTTTCAAGATCTGAAGAGTTTTGGTATAACTTTTAACAAGCAAGATTGCTATAACATACTGAAGAGGTGAAAAATCGTTTCCCCGCTTCAGCTGTTGGCCAATTCATTTTCTTTTTCTGCGAGTCTGTCTTTAAAAGGACAGAATGCAGAACCGAAAGGATTTCTTGGGTCATTGAATCTGGCCCTCTCATCACTGGCAGCTACATCATATTATCTGTTTCATAAACAACAAAAATTCTTCTTATAACGAGTGAAGTCTGTGCTTTGTGGCTGTTCCAGGACCTTGCTGCTTTGATTCTTGGAAACTCTTAATTCCCAGCACAAGTCTGCCTGTAGGTAGTTTATACAACCTATCTGCATGCAGAATAGCCCTCAGCTTAAATAACTCTTCTCTAGTCACACATTTCATTATTCCTTCCCTGTCTTAGAAGAACTTAGGAAGAGCAGTCATGTTCCTGCGTGGCTTTAAATTAAAAGAAATTAATGATTCTATGATTCTAACCTCTGTTAGTCTCCCTCACGCCCTGATCAGTACTTTCTTCCTCTGTTTTCTTTCTGATGTTTTGCTTTGTTCTTTAGCATGAAGACAAGCAAGTGCAATCCCCCAAATAAGTGAGCCTGGTTTTTGAAGTGCTTTTGAATATGCTTGAAAAACAGCCAGCTCTTAAATGCGCTAAAAAATGAAGTTTACATGTTAGACTATTTCATACTATTTCAAGAATCTAGTGTTTCAATTTGGTTCAAGATTTAGCCACTTGCTTCATTTCTCTGTAAAATATCTGTGAAGTTAAAGGAATCTAAAAAAAAAAAAACACCCGTAAAGTACCACTGAACATACAGAAGAAAAAAGGCTTCAGCAGAGAACTATACACACATACAACCATGTCCACCACTCATTTCCTTTAATAATCTGTTTAATCAAATACCTTATGTAAGTTTATAATGAACAGCCAAAATTTGATGTGTTTCCTTCTGCTTAAGGCAGGAATTAAGACTTAGCATGGAATTTCACTAGCGCTGATAAAGTCCCCTGTGCTATTTCTCCTTATTAAAAAGCTTGAGACAATATATATACAGATAACTGAAAAAGCAGAACTACTTTTTTCCCCACCAAGACCTCAGTACGACTAGCACTACTTTACGTTGCTCTGCCAGGGTACCCGGTGAAATTGTTTTTCAGATCTTTGACTGGTCATTCAGCATCTGTGCCAATCAGTGAGCTGGCTGGTGCAAAAAATCAGTTTTTCTAGCACAGCCTATTTCATCCCGATCAAATATTTACTTTAAAACCAAAATACCATTTAGTTCTGAGACCTGGCACTGCAGATTCATACAAAAACCTGCCCAGAAGGGGGCTCAGAAGATCTCCAGTCCATCCTTCTGCTCCAAGCAGGGCCAGCTATTACTTCAATCCATCCTGTTCGGAGCTTTATCTGGTGAATCCTTGAAAATCATGGAAGACAGAGACTGCAGAGCCTCCGCCACCACAGGGTTCCCTTGACAGCCGATCCTAGTGGTTAGAACGTCTCCCTCACACCCCATCCGAGCTTCTTGTTTCAACTTCTGCCTGTTGCCTCCTGCCTACCAGCTGATCAGAGCTCCAAGCATCCCGACTCCACCTCGGGCTCCTCCTTGCAGCCCTGTGGGCAGGCCATGAGGCCCCCTGATGGAGGCTCCCCTCCAGCTCCCCTCACAAGGCAGGCGCTGCTGCCAAACGGCCATTTTGCCCTCCCCTGAACGCACTCCAGTTTAACGTCTTGCTCGCAGTGGGGAACCCCGGCTGTGGTACCCTAGAGGCGGCCAAGTGAGTGCCCAGCGAAGGGGGACAACCACTTCTCAATGGACTGGCTCTGGATGGCTCCAGGACACACTGCTAGTTCACTCAGGGGCTCTTCAGCAGAGCTCCTCCCAGGCCTGTGTTGCCTGCAACTCCTCCTTGTCAAGGACTTTGGATTTATCCTCATTTGTGCAGTTCCCACCAACCCCGTCCTCCAGCCTGTCTAGATCCTTCTCCTTGCAGCTGGGCCCTCAAGGGTACCAAATACTCCCTCCAACACAGCATTACCCACAGGCTTGATTAGAGTGAGCTCTGGTGCCTCCTCCAGGCCACTGACACGTTGAACACTGCCTTTCAAAAACTATTATTCCTTACACTGCAACGGCCACACTTTATCACAATTAAGGCAAGAGCAGAATGAGAGAATACGCACTGCAAAAGGGCTTATTCCTTTACACAGCAAAGCCTTAGCACACAAGGCTCACATAAGAGAAACTTGCCCACTCCCAGCATGCAAAATGAGTGCTTACCTTTCAAATTACTGTTTTCAAAGAGGGGAAAAAATACCCTGAATAATAGACAACATTTTATAAGGCTTATTTCACTGTAATGAACAGTTCTTAGTCATTCTTGACGTGGGTTCTTGAGCAAGTGCCCAGGGTTTTTGAAGGAGAAACCAACTACCTGCTTTCCCTTCTATTAATTTAATGCTAAAAAAAATACCCCGATATGTGGAAGAGCTCCTGTGATAAAGTTATTCTAGTATAAAATAATGTAATTCAGGACCACGCTATTTCCATGAAGGCTAGCTTTTCCTGCTAAAGATCTTAGGTTTTTAGAAGAAAAAGAAAAGAGCCTCACATTGGCATTGCTGGCTTGATGTAGTTAAATCACAGAAAGCAGGTAGAAGAACAAAGTCATTTCTGCAACCAGAAAGATTGTTTTTTCAAGATTTCTCTAACCTTTCTTGTTAGATTTTCCACTCACTATTACTGATATCTGGTCTTTGAAATTTGAAATAAAATAAATCTGACAAGAAGGCTAGATTAGGGTACAACCAAAGAAAAAGAGGACTATGAGTTTACATGAATATTAAAGGAGATATTGCCCTACAGAAATAAAAAAAATCATGTTGTAAGATAGAATATGCTTCACAGAAGAACATTAAAATAAACATAAAATACATTTGAGAAATTTCACATGTTCTTCCACAATTTCACACAAACGTCTAACATGAGAGAAACAGCCTACAAAATACATACAATTTTATATCCATGTGTAGAAATGACACTTAAGTTTTCAGTAGAAATGTCTATCGATTGTCATGTGACCATTAGAAAAGAGATTTCATAGGACAGCTAATCTTATCTGAGTTCCTTAAAACTGTGCAATATTAAAGAGACAAGATGACAAACAGTAGCACCACTTTCAATGGTGTAATATTCCTTGCAATTCTAAATATTAATGTTATCAGGTAAAAAGAGAAATATGCTAAACAAACCTGGGATACTGGTTTTATTAGGAAGTTTCATATATTATTTAAGCTTGCATTTTAGTTGTACAACCACATTTTACATAAAATCCTAAATGATACCCTAGTATTTTTCCCTTTCAAGTAATCATCAGCAGCTGATTGAGCACTAATTTCTAATTATTTCAAAGCTCTTACCTTCCAAAACAGAATGCTACAGTGCCGACAGAAATGCAAAGTGTCTCCATACTGTTCCTTTATTGGATAATACTTCTGAAGTGCAAAGTACATCAGCTTCCAGTCAATGTGACCTTTTTCTGATAGAATCAAATGCCTACAAAACTGGATATAAACAGTTAAAGATGTAGTCCAATCAGCAAATGACTGAAAAATCACAGGCAGTTAAACTGAAGTTTTATCACCAGAACTCTTTGAAATCAATGGTCTGACAAGTATTCATCTCTAAATAAGAGCAATAGAGACCCAGACAGAAAAAGCTAAATTAAAAATTGAGGAATGCAGATCTCAAGAAAAACAGGCCATATACAGCTGATCCAACTCCACTGTCTTTATTTTGATCATAGTCAATGCTAACTATTAACGAAAACAATGCTAACTATATAATAATGTTTTGAATAATAATTCATTTTACACTTTTTAAAAAAATCTGGAATTAGATAAAAATGATCAAATACTACAATCAGCATTTTTTTCTGTTAAGGTAGTAACCATGGCTTTAGATAATGCTTGGTCTTTCCATTCAAAAGAGTATACTTTTACCTTTTCAGAAGCACAGAAATAAATGACTAATATACTTCTTGAGCCCCAGTTTGCAAATCAACTGCAGCTGATACACAGCAGCTACTTCTAAACCAGCTTAATACATGGACAAAATTTACAGAGTTTGAAGTTATAAAATACCGCATTCCACTACGTGTGGATTTATCCTAATACATTGGAGGATTTTTGATTTTTTCATACAGAAGAAGGCTGCCACATTCTGTCCCATTTTTATCTTGAAGAAGGTTCATACTTCATTATTTGCATACAGCACAGATAAGAGAAAGATTTACATAAGTGATAAAGCTGATTACCTGTTTTTCAGCAAAGTGGTACTGGCAGAGTTTTTTCCACAATTGTCTGTCTTCACTAAGCATATACAAAGTTGGGGTCACTTGACCTAAAGTAATAATGTCCCAGCCATCAGAAAACCTGTATAAGATGTTATTCAGCATATGCAGAGGTAGATCAGTAAGTGTAAGGCCATTGTTGACTTGCTGGGAAAAAAAAAAAAAAGAAAAAAAAAGACTTGATAAGACTTGACAAGATAAGGTAGAAGAGCTTTTTTTCTTTAAAAGCAGCTGACATTTCAGTTTAGATTGTACGTAAGCACTGAATAATATCTGTTTTAGTGATTCTGTGATTATTTGGCTGCCATTTTTTCTGTAAGAGATGCTGTTAAGAGCTTAGATGACCTACAGGTATAGAAAGAGATAATGAATATAGCTTTGCAACCTGCATCTTTCTCAGTGCTAAAATAAAACTAAGATAAAAATATTAAATTCTTCTTTAAAATTTGAAATAACCTATGGTCTTGAAAACAAAAAAAAACTCTGAAGAACTAAAATGTTTTTATCTCTGCTTTCAGAGAAGTGTGCCAAAACCCTAACTGTAACTTATTCAACTATAAATAATCACTTTTTAGTTTTATTATAACTTATAGGATAATAGTTTCTCAATTTTAATTCCAAACAGTGGAAGTATACTGCACAAAATATAGGACTGATAAGTACAAGCACACAATGAAAGTATTATCAAGGTAATAAAGTAGAATCATTTCTCAATCTGAAAGACAGTTACAAAAGCTGAGGACAGCAACACATGACAAATCAGCACTTCTGCAGGGGTGATGAATCAGAGCACTGAGAAGGTTTTCAATAGGAACATACACTTCCCCCCCTGTAGCTCACGGGAGCCATGCAGTAAACTGACATTAAATCTCACAGTGGAATGAAACAAGTGCTGCAACTAGTTTCTCAAAATTGTATATATGGTTGTTTGGTATATAAAAAAAAATCACTAAGATCGGGTTTCCAGTTTCTTCTTTTCTATTCCAAAATTAGCTGTTCTACTCAGACACCCAGCAAGAACAATTTCAGAATTTCACAGCTGAAAGTAAACAGACAAAACAGCTTCATCACTTTATTGGAAGCAGTGACTTGCAGCAGCATTTCCTCCTCCAGGACTACCCCAGTCAGGTTAGAAGCCTTAAAAAGCTCTGCTCATCTTCAGACATTTCCATAGAGCAGCCTGGAGCAACGCATACCATATGTTTTAAAGAAAGTTGTATGATTACAGACCAGATGCTGAAGTCATCAGCTTTTTTTTCTCCTCCCCACAAAAAGCAACTTGGCTAATAAAAAGCTGTAAAATTGGCACTTTGAATAGCTTACTTACATTTACTTGCATGTTCCTGGTCTACATCTAATTTTTTTTTTTTCCATTTTTCTATTTCCTTATTAATAGAACAACTACCTTGATAGAGATGAAAAATGTAAAATAAACTTGAAACTTTTTTTGAAACTTTTGTAATAAACTTGCATCTTAAAAACCTCTGCCAGAAGGGAGTATAGCAGTATAGGCACTGTAGCAATCCTCATTGGAAAAGGACTATTAAAATATTTTAAAAATTGATTCAAATTTTAATCTCGTTAATTCCACATTTCTTCTCCAAAAATATGGAAATCAAGCCATGTTTTAAATGTATTTGAAATTTTGTTCATTTACAAATCAGAAACCAGTTTCTAACATACTCCTCTCCCCTCATTAGTCTGGTAGCATGATTTAACAACACACCTTGTTCATCTGAAGGTTTTTTAGCTGTTGTTGCCACAAAAGGATAGTTTCTAGTCGGCAAATCCAGATATTGATGTTCCCGATCAAAACAGATTTTCCTACTCCCCTAATGAGTATACAGAGAGTAGAACTAAGATCCTGCAGAAGATCTTTGATTAGTCGTGGATTATATTGGTCTTCCAGGACTAGAAAATAAAACAAAACAATTTCAGTTTCTAATACAGCTAACCCAAGCTAAACAACATTATTTTCTCTGAACTAATTAGGCAGCATCACTGTGTGTGTGTACTGCCCTAATCCCCACAATGATATTCATTAATGCTCTTCCCTAAGTGCAAGATCGATAATTAACATAATTTCAAAAGCTAGATCTGTGCTGTTATGCATTTAATAAGTTGCTATTCAGCATCATGTTTGAGAGTCTCTGCTCATAGCTGACAGTATTGCATCTCCACTTAGTGTGGTTACCAGACTAAACAGTTCGTCAACATTATTATATAATAGATTTTGCATGCAAAAAGCAATTACATACTTTTACATTTTGCTACATTATGCAAATAGAAAAATAATCAGATTAATCTTATTACAGTTGTTTCATCTAAGTTTTTATATTTTGTGGAGTAAGATTAATAGCATTCAGTATCTTCTGAATACAACTGTTGCCACATGACTTCGCAAATCTATTTCCGACATGATTCAATAATCAAAAGAAAACCATTTATTAAAATTGGATGTCTAGCATTAGACCTTTCACTAATACACTATTATTTGTCTAACAATGTAAACAGAAAAAGACAACTAACATGCCCACCACCATACCAAGAAAACATCTAAACACAGCAATAAAATCTGAGCGAGCAGATGACAAAACCTTGGGTCTTACCCTTCCGCACAATTTTGTCCAAAACGTTGAAGTAGTTCTTCTGTGCTGCACCACTTAGTGAAGTTAACTGGGACTTTGCAATTAACTGCAAAAGCTGGATAAAGAATTAAAACTTCGAGCAATAGTAAAAGATGATTTCATGCACAAACACATTACATATAACACATACTGCAAATACCGAGTCATTGCCTACGGTCACCTGCAGTACTACCATTGTATCTCCTTCAAGTGGAACTACTGAGGTAAGGAAATGGAACAGGACAAATGCCCAAACTGAGCATTCCCACTGGCATTTCATGACCAAGCTGTGAAGTGATGTACATTTTCAAAACACTGTGCAAGTATTGGCTTCATCTACGTGGCAGAGCACATGGCCGCCAACCTTTTCCAGCTGTGTTGGTCAAAATGGATTTTTGGTTTATGAATTTGTCAGTGGTTGAAGGTTGCTCTCAACCCTACCTCTTTTTTTCTGTTAGGAAGCATGAAAAACCTGGAGCTATTCATCCCTCCAATCTCTCTGCTCTATACAGTGCTAATCAATCCCCTGCTTCCCGATCTGCTTTGCAGCTTGAAAAAATCTGTTTTGTTTTGTATTTATTTTTCCCCCCTTTTGATAGTTCACCTCCCTTTTCTGTCTCAGCTTTTCATTCTTTCACTTCCCTCTGAATAACCCATTGTTCTCAAGTATCCACCTGAAAACACAATACCACATAAAAAGCCAAATTACAGACTTGTACCAGCAATTTAATATTCACAATTTCTGGTTTTGAAGTGGCAGAGCTGATGCCCCAGCTCCTAATGATGCCAGGAGATGCTTTTTCCTCCTCCGTTACACATTATTTCACATTTACTGGTATTTGTTTTTACTCGCTGCTGTAGTGCCACTCCTACTGTGACAAGACAATGACGCAAATTAGGCAACTTCTCTGCTAGAATCTCTCAAGTATCTTTGGAATTAGAACTGCTGTATACAATATCAAGATCGCAAGACAAACACTCACAAGATGGAAAATACAATACTGCAGATATATCCAAGTACAGCTTGTTGCTTGCTCCCTTAAAATAGAAAAATCAAATAAAAACAGTAATTCCACAATATATCATCACACTGATGCCAGCAGTGACCTTCAGAAAACAACCTGTAACAGCACTATGTCCTTCCAGAGGGGCTATGGAGAGTTACAGCAAGAATAGGTCTTCATCACGGAGCTGGAATAAGTCTTTACAATATGGTTTAACAAAAGGAAAAAAAAAAGTATTTCCACAGCTTTTCTTCAAACTTGCAGCAGAAAGCAAATAGTTCCCCCAACTCCATCTGAAGTTCAACATCCCATTCAGTTCAGCATTAATCGTTAACCCCAACCAGCAACCTGGAAACCAGGCTTTACAAGGCTGGTCAACATGGGCTTTCACTCCACGGCCCAATACCAGTGCTGAAATGCTGGTTTAACTAAGTGTTTTGCGTCTCCTGTCTCTCAACACAGCCCAACCACTACCTCATTTGAGAGCAGCCTCGCCACAGAGCTGAGCTGCAGTCCTGGGGACACCTCCTGTTTCCAGCTCCTTCATGAAGCAGGACACAGACTACAGGGGCTACCTAGAGCCTGGACACCAAACACGTCAGGCTGAAGTCAGGTAGCTCCCACAACAGGCAACCGGGCCTAAGCAGCTGCTCAGGCACCTCCAAAGTTAAGGCATGACACTACACAGCTCCAAAGAAAGGGCAGGCAGCTGCAGGAAACAGGCAGGCACCACTACAGACCGGCACTGACAGGTTCTTCTCACCTTATACACTATTAAGAAAACCAAGACCTAGCCCATAGAAACTAGCTGATATAGTGGAAAGGCGACTTGCCAAGAAGGAAAAACCGTGACATTAAAACAGAGTTATTCCTATACACTTCATGTTACCACGTTACGTATGAAAGACAACTCGAAATAAAACTTAGGACTTTCCATTTTTTTCAGTCTTCCATTTTTGTCTTCCTTCTAAGGAAAGTTAGAGGTAAATGCCTACATATCTTGTCAGAGATGTGTTACACAAATAAAAGGAGTGCAGTGAGTCACACAACTGTTTTAACAAGTGCTGTTGAATATTTACACATCCAAGTATTTTGGAAAATGCTATTTTAAGTGTATTTAAGATGTACTACATTTTGCTATTTTTGGTTGCATAGGAATCATTTTGTCTTTAAAGAGAGTTCATCACCCCAAAGATGAGCAACTGAAACCACCACCCATGTTTGCCTATAAATACATCAGAACAGAGCACTGCCTATACCATCCTTTTCAGGCTAATCTCTCACGATGTAATATAAGCAATTTTCCAAGAAAAAAAATACTCAGTGTAATAGAAAAGTCCAGTTATTTCATGCAGTAGGAAATAAAATTACATAAAACAGGACATTTATGCAGTTGCAAGCCACCAGCTGTTCAGTGCTGAACTTATGTAGATATATGACCAAATGCATTTTTGAGATGCACATACAGATGAGACTTACTTTGACCACGTAATTGAATCTTCTGATGTCCTGAACTGCACTTGAAAAATCCAAGCGATTGAAAGCTTCTCCCAAAGTGCAATAGCCATGTCTCTAAAAGGAAGAATAAGCACATTTTAAACAGAAAGAAAGAAGGATAAAATTGGCAAAAGCAGCTCAACAATTGTGGAGACTTGCATTCAGGAAAGCACTCTGGCATGCAAGTGAAGTACATGCCTATCACGTGCCCTGGAAGTGTAATGCAGCTGGACTGAAAACTCTTGTAAAACAGATGAAAACACAGAAGATATATTTAGAACTAACAAGTATCTAAGCACTATTCACTTGATGCAAGGCCTTTGAATTTGTACAAATCTGTACAGATGCCTGTAATCACTGGCATCTGAATGTCTGGATATTTTATCCCGTTTTTACACGGCTGCATTGCTGCTGCTGTCCTGGGGCTGCCGTGTTCTTTGTTCATTTCAGCATAAGGTTTAAGTTGACATAAGACACGCAGCAGCCTGAGCTTACAACTATAAGCATTCACTGAGTCGATTTATGCAAGAATTTATGTTCACACTTAGGGTAAAAGAGGGCCATTTGCTCCTGGAATAGGACTAGTGGTTTAATATCTGGAGTTGGCTCAACATCTGGAGTTTATTTTCTGTGTTAGACATTTAAGTACAAAATAGCATTGCCTTTTGGTGCTTTGGCACAGGTGTCATGAGGAGAAAACGAAAGTATGCAGCATGCAGGACTTACTTCTCTGGTACTCTCCTTATGAACATAAATCCATTTTTCACAATAAAAACCTAAAATAAAAAATAAACATTTTCAACTTCCACTTCAGATGATGTTTGCTATAAATTGAGTGAAGAAAACATACCATCCTCAAACTATTGCACAAAAGTATTAGAACAGTTTACATGAAGGAATTTTACAAAGTCTTGCAAGAATGATTTCAAATTTTCAGGAGATACGTACTCAAAAACTGCACTAAGGAAAAGTAAAATAAATCTGTAAATCAGACACTTGGAAATTGGCCGCTGTAATACAATTTCTTGACTACGTACCAAAAGCAATCAATTTCTCACAAATCTCCTGATTCTTTTCAGTCAAAAAGACTCCCCAGTATTTAACACGGAAGGGAATGGAGATGAGTAATGTTTTTATTCCTCAAGACTGTGCATTTCTAGCTCATTTTCTTTTGTAAAGGTGGATGAGCCACATCCAGCCATTACAAACATTTTGTGGGTGCTGCAGAGAAGTCAACTATGCAAGACTAACAAAAGCAGATAGGCAGATCTCACGTTCATAACTGTCTGCGTATGTCAGCAAATGAAAGTGTTCTTACATATAAGCACTCAATTTTGCTAATTAGCAACATTTTTCAAGCCCAATCAAGAAGCCTGCAGCCTTCTTCAAGAGCATCCCTGTTACAGTTTTGGAGGGGAGAAATATGTAAAATCAACAATATTAGAAACTCCAAAAGCAGTTTGGAAAGTATCTTTTTAAAATAAATATCAATATATACTAACAGAAACCACTGGCATTATCACAAAGATATTCTGAGCTAACTTCAAGGCTGCTTGAATAATCAGAATTTGAGTTAAGCCAAAATAAAACTGTGTAAAGAAAAGCTTCCACAAGCATCTGCAAAAACTTTGTCTACAAAACAAAGTAACAGGTTAGTATCAGAAGACGTCTGTTACATAGGTATAAACTCTTCAATGAGCTATCTTTGGATCTTTGAAAAAAATCACTTAACAGATGATCGATGCTATAATTAAGACATGCCACTTCTGTAATAATGTTGCACAGCAGAAGTGGACATAAATCAGATAACTCCTCCTTATATAAATGGTCAGTATATAAATATTTAGCACTGCTGAACCCAAGAAAATCTTCTAAAACAAATTAAAACAAACCTGACTGGCATTGTGAATTTGTGTTATTCCTACAGTGATCTTTTTTCCTTTTCTTAGTTGCAAATTCACAGTCCTCAGCATTATATATTTCTTCTTCATCATCATCAGTTAAGATGCTGAAATAAAAGCATTTAATTAAAATGACAGGAATTTAAGTATTTAAACATCATACAGCTTATAACTCCCTGCATTAAAAATATCTAGCAGGTGAAAAAAACATATTTTAGAAGATGTTCCTCTACCTGAAGGTCTATAGCAGTAACCATCTTAAGCGAGAAGCCAGCTTGTTCTTTTCTTCCAAGTGCTGTTCTTTCACTTTTTTGTCAAATTAGAGTATTTCTGTATTTTGTGTTTAAAGTCAGTCATCAGTGCCATTTAAGAAGGACTAATGAGGTCACGATCTTGGCTGAACAGTGGCTGTCTGCAAGTCTCATATATAAAGAAAAACACTATTTGAAAGGGACCAGGCCCTGTAAAACTCTGCAGCAATCTGCACTGAAAACCAATACAGAATTATTGCATACTTTACTAGATAGAAAGCTAACCAAGATAAAGGCATCTTTCTACTACTGTCAATGTATGGGCAAACAAAGAAATTTTAAGGGGCGGTGGGAATAAATGCATGATTATTTTAAATAAACACCCTAATCACTACAGCATACATAATTCAGGAGTTACTACGCTGTTTTACTAGTGATCTGGGCATCATGAACCTCACAATCCATCTGCCTTCTCTCACACGCAGGATCAACTATAGCTATTTACGAGTGACATCATAAGCATATAATTTGACACAGAGGATTATACAGACTTGCAATACAAAAACACTTTTGCTGTATAAACTGACCTTTCTAAAACTTGCAGAACACCTACTGTGCGATGTATATGCCTACAGCTTCATTAATTAAGGTTTTGCTTTCCATTTGTACAGCTAATTACAAGGAAAAGTAGTACAGATAAGAAGGGGTGTTCCTGTTTTTAGCACACAGATAAAGGGATCCATCTTCGCATGAAGGCAGCGGCCCTGTGCAGATAAGCACTGAGGCTACGAGGAACTGAAGCTTAACTCTAAGACTACTTGATTTCCCTATAGTTACTTAAGAAGAAAACTGTATATAACCCTTTCCCCCCACACACACTCGCTACTATTCATAAAAATATGAAATTTGCCAGGGAATTTACCACTGTGTCAGGTTAACTTCAGTTACTCTGGCCATGGCCGAATGTTTTCAAACACAGACAAGGCTGCATTCAAAAACTTGCATCGAGGCATTAGTTTGCATGTATCTATCTATCTATCTGTATATATATATATATAAGCAACATATAGCAATACTTATTGCTATTAGTTAATATGGTTAAAATATTCAGTCTTGAACAATCTTTTCAGAAGGATGACTACATGCCATACAAAAGCATTCAGAAAAATGCTGTATTCAGCATTTATGATACAATGCAATAAGAAAACTCAACCAACATATTCTGTTTCTTCTCAATTACCCAGTTCAAGCCCTGGAACATGCAGCTAAACTTCTGAACATCGACATCAACAGAAGGCAATATCTTCGTTACTGGACAAGATTTGACAATTCTGTCATTCTTCTCACTCAGATCAGGATAAAAGCAGAAATTGAGCGTCAATCAGCTACAGAACTTGAATTTCCCTCTATGCAACAAAGAAAAAGCATCCTCACTGCTCTGAGCCACAATACCCATACAACTTGCTTCAGTATAGCTTTTAAAGAATATTTTGGTGAACAGAGCATCTTATTTTGTTTCATTAAAATAGAAAACCTGGCGGAACGACAAGGCTGGTATTCATTGTCCTCCATTTATACAACAGCACATTCACAGAACGGTCAAACCAGGAAGCACACATGAAAATATTTACACAGTTTACTACATGCTTCCTCCACGATGAAGCTGTTCTGCATTTCACCCAGCCTCATTTTTATTCGGCATTATATCACACCACTATAGCCAAAGCAGAGCTGCCTGTTCAATAGAAAGATACTTGCTTCCCAGTGGCCTGGGATGACAGAGCAGAGCTAAGGAGCAAACCACAGTGTGTTGCTCTGCTGCAGCACGCAGCCCCGTGCTCATGGCACGGGCACCCATGCAGCAGCACAGGCTGCACGCAGAGGAGGCAGCCTGGCAGCAAAGCACCCAGGGATCCACGTGGACAAAACCTGGACACAGGCAGCCCGGGGCCCTTGCGCTGAGGTCAGTCAGTCTCATCCCGGGCTGGATTAACACAAGGGGAGCTCTCGGGCTGGAAGAAGCCATCAGCACTCTCTTTGGTGACTGAGACACCTCAAACGCACTACGGTGTCCTGCTCTTACCCCTTGCAAGGAGGGAGTTACACCAAGGCCAACAAAACTTTTACCAGGAGCCAAGAGAGGCTGTGGAGTCTCCATCCTTGGAGATGTACAAAACCCACCTGACTAAAGCCTTCTGAAACCTAATTTTGGCTGGCCCTGCTCCAAGGGGAAGCCTGGAGCAGCCGACCTCCTGAAGGCTTTCCAACTTAACCTATGATGCTGTGTAAATAAGCATCAAAGGCATAGAGCAAACAACTCATATTCAAAGTTCTCAGAATGTAGTAAAATTATTTCAAAGCAGTGAGTGCCATTGTGCCAAGATATATCAATTTAAATTCTGCAGTTTAATGTTTAAACGCTACGTATTTTTGACTGAATTGCCAGAAGCAGAGTGGAAGGGAAAGGTGCAGAACTGACATGCTGCAGTTTGGCTTCGGTTAGTAGGAGATGCATAGGATGCAGGTGTGGAACTGCAGGATCATCACAGATGAAGGTCACAGTGGTACCCGAGTTTGAGATTCTGAAAAGCTACCAAACCAGTTTAAGGAATTCAAGTCATGGACCACCCTAGACATCATGAGAACTTGTTTTCATGAGCAGCCCCTTCAAATTTGTCTAATGTCCTTATTTTAACCTTGAACTTCAAGATTCCGATCTCTTTCCAAAAATAGCTGGTTTAAATCCACCTCTGGAAAGACAACTCCGGGACTTAAAGGCTAAGAGGGAAAAAAAAGAAGTAATACAAAAACTTACTCTGTTCCCCGGAGAATAGATGAGCATACAACTAGGACCAGAAAAACAAAATCCTTGACAATTTGCACAAATATTTACAAAAGTGAGAATTGTTTGTCATACTTGCCAAGTTATATTCATTCAAGCAGCCTACAGAAATTAATGATTTAGTGCCTAACAAACGGGTACCAAAATTAAAATAGATTCTCATTTGTCAACTGCATCTGTAGGGATATACACAAAGAGGGAAGAATTTTTTTTCCCCACAGACATTTAAGTCAGCTTTTAATCTGGAAGCATACTGAAGAGCCTTCCAGGGAAATGCAGTCTTTCATTTTCAGAGTCCTAAGTATGGTCAGCAAATAAAGGGACTAACTAACATCAGCATCAGGGGAGCACAAAAACAAGAAGGGCATGAAGAAAACAGTAGTTCAAGAAAGGATCAATAACAGAAGAATTACTCACTGCTTGATTACTGACTTAAAATTGATTTTATATGTATAGAAAACAGATGTACGAATTCAGCAGGTCTTTGCTAGCAAGAAATTCCTTCTAAAGTACATCATTTACTGGACTTACACTGGGCTACCAAGAAGAACACGCAATGCCTCTTCTCATTACAAACATATCAAGCTGGAATTTATAATCAAGAATGCTACCCCTGAAAATTGCTTGTTGATGAAGAAACCAAGTAGGAAATTCCCTGGAGAAAGTCACTGACATGACATCAGTCTATATTACCTACCACAAGCATTGTTTTACTTTATTCTCTAAGACAATTCTGAGTCATTCTACAAGGGCATATATTGTCATATGCATTAGACAGTTAGCAAAATTCAACAGGCCTTTGGAACTTAAAAATATTACATTCATCCTTAAATAGTACATTTTTTTTGAATGCAATAAAGTTTGGCATCTAGTTTACCTAAAATAAACGACTCATGAAACAATTCTACAACAACAACAAGTAGTAAAGCTCTCTATACAGTTTAGCACGCGAGGTAAACAGACTCCAGAGAATCATCCTATTTGTCTAGTTAAATAAATCACATGGGTTTCTTTTTTTATGCTTCCTACATATGCCAACAAGACCATCTCCTACAATATTCCCAGTTTGAAAGCAAATTAAGCCAATCTGCCTTCTCATCCCCTCTCCCCCAAGCTGACCATCTCTTGGAGCTTACACAGCGTGGCTGATGTCACCGAGCTGACTGTTCCCATCCTCAAGCGCAGGGCTGAAGGGCTCACATCGTTTCCATCCATCTGCAGTTTTAACCCATCGCCATCCGGGGGATCTCCAGTCTTGGCCCAGAAATGGCATGGTGTCTCTAAAAGCAGCAGACAGATTGTTGGCATGGGATTTAATCACTGACAAATGCTGCACAGCACTTCGTCATTATTTCATTATTCAAGTGTTCTCTCCAAACTTAGAAGAAAGTTCTGGTTATACCCAGGAAAAGGGTCTCTAGAGCATTCTGCTAGGAAGCAAATTCAATGGCTTCCTACACACTTTGAACCTGTAACTTCTTTGTTGCCTCTTAAGCATTTGTCAAACCTCAGCAGGTTTTCTAGTTCTTTAGGAAACAAAGTGTCACAGCAACCCAGGAAATGGATGACACCAAAAACAACAGGGTCTATCACGTCTGAGTAGATTAAACAGGATAGATGACCAATCTTGAGATCTAACAACTGATTGTCTAGAGGTTAAGCAAGACCAAGTACATACTGCTCCTTCCATTTCCACTATAATAGCTCTAAATGAGATTCCACTAGAGCACTACATGGAATAGCACTACAATGGAATACAATGAATTCCCATGAAGGGAAGCCTCATTCTCCCAAATACTTTTTCCAGTTGGGTCACCTCCAGTTGAGCTATTAACTGGACACCCAGGACAAATGGAGGCTGCAATATGAAGTCAACTGTTCACTGTCCACCTACAGAGACATGAAGTCATCACAGATGCATCAGAGTTTGGCTACCCCTTTTGAAACAGAAACTCATTCTGACACACAGCAGCCTATGGATCCAGGATTCTCTCATCCTCACAGGAGCCTATGAATTTCAAGAAGGAAGTTTCACTCTACACTCAAAATGACTTGATCATATTTCAGAAGAATGGGGCTCTTCACCTTGCATCACACCCCCTTTTCCAGGAGTGGGGAGGAAAAAGCAAAAAACACTGAGGAAACAAGAGCCACCACCAAGAAGCACAGAAGAGGAGGGCTGTGTATGTCAGGGTTACCACAGTGTGAAGTTGCAGCAAGTGCTCTACTCACCCTTGCACTTCTTAAGGCAGCTCTGCTTTCACCGAGGCAGGGAACTCACTACAAAAGTAAAGCACCACTATAACAACATCCAGAACTGCAGCAATGCATCTTATAGCTCTGCCCCTTCAATGAGGAAGATTTGTCGGACACCTAGGAACGCAGTCTAGATGGAAACCACTCCTGCTGATCAGCATTGGGACTGCAGCCAACACCTTGGGAACAAGCAAGGTCCTTCCCATTCCCCCTAGCACTCCTACAGCATCCTCATCCCTTCCTTTACAAAACCCTTTCTTCAGCAGCTCTGTTTTCAAAAGAAATGGCCCCTTTGCAACTTGCACTGCAGGGAGGTGCTCCATCCTACAGGAGCTCACCCAGTCATCCCGCTCCATACATTTCTTCCCACCAAATGCCCACTTCACATCCAACCTCAAGCTTCACAGTATTACAAGCATCAGCTTCCCATCTACCCCCAATTCCAGCTGTTACTTCCCATGCAGCAGCCCAAGTGGTTCCGGCCCATCCAATTTTCACTTCCCCACACGGCACGTTCACCTGCTCACTCACCCCGCACGAACCTCCCACTCTGCGGGCTCCTTCCCTTCAATTTGTTGCTCTCCCAGTCCCTGCCTCCCCAAATCCTCCCCGCTCCTTGTGCCTGCAGCTGACGCTCCCAATCCCTATTCTTGTAGCCGAGCTCCCGGGCTCCCTTCTCCTCTCCCAATCCCTGTTCTTGTAGCCGAGCTCCCGGGCTCCCTTCCCCTCGCACCCACTCGTCCTTCACACCATCCTCCCATACGACTGGGCACCCGGTTGGCGCCCGGGGTACCCAACCTGCTCCACATCCAGACCAAGAGCTCAAGCCCCACAGGCCTCCACTATCCCCTCCCAAACCTCCTGCCCCAGCCCCATGCCACCTCAGGCCTCCTCTAGCCTGCACATGCACCCCACACCACCTGAAACCCCCCTCACCACCCTTGGCCCTCGCACCCAGCCCCAATTCAGTTCCCCAGCCCTTTCAGGCTCCCTGACCCCTCACACACCCCACACATCTGTTGATACCTGCCCCCCACCACCCCGACCCCTCAGGACCTCTCGGCACCTTCAACTCCTCTCCTCCACCTCTGCTCTGCTGCATCCTCCCCATGGAGCAGCCTACAGGCAGCCAGCCCGAGCGACTTCCACTTCCAAATAAGGCCCGTCAACCTGCCGCTCGCCCCACACGAACTTTGTACCCGGCTCCTTCCTGCAAGCTGCAGCTCTCCCAGCCCTCGCTCTGCCAAACGGCTGCAGCCCCACACGTGCCCCAGATCTCACAGCCACCCCACATGGTGACCCACTGACAGGTCTCACCTCTACCCCACACGGCCGCCCCACGCCGCTGCCTCTGAACACAGCCACGCTGCTCTGCCCCCCGGCCCTCATGCTGCCCCTGCCCCACCAGCACCACCCCGAGCCCAGCTCCCCACAGCCATTCAGGCCACCCCTGACTCCAGCCCCACCTGGCATTTGACCCCTCCACCTCTCACCACCCCGGCTCCTATTCCAGCCCCATACAGCAGCCTAAGCACAACCAGCCCACCTCCCACTTCCAAACAGGGTGGCTTAACCTGCCCATTTGCCCCAAGGGAACTTGGCACCTCTGCTGCTTTCCTGCCACCCGCTAATCCAAACCTTGCTGTGCCGAGGGGCTCGGCCTCCACCTGCACCCCGCATCACCCTGCGCCCCCCGCCCCACACTGCCTCTGATGCCCCCCAATTCGGCCTCTCACCCCCCCAGCCCCTCACAGCCATGCCAGGCCAGGTCCCGGCCTCTCCACCTCCTGCCTCCGCTGCTATTCCGGCCATTACTGCCCCTTGAGCAGCCTACTGGCAACCAGCCCGGGCGACTTTCACTTCCAAATAAGGCCCTCAACCTGCCGCTCGCCCCACCTGAACTTTGTACCCGGCTCCTTCCCTGCAACCTGCCGCTCCCCACACCCTGAGCGGCCCAGCAGCCCTGCTCCACGTGCGCCCCACAGGGCCCTGACCTCCCACTGCCTCACACCTGCCCCACACGGCCTCTGAAACCCCCTACACCTGCCCCAAACTGCCTCCAACCTCATCCCTACCAACTGCCATCACCCCCTCATCCTCTGACCTCCTCATTCTTCCCCACCACTGCCTCTGACCCCCCAAACTGCCTCTGACCCCCTCAGTCTCTGCCCCACACAGCCTCCAACCTCCGCACCCCCCACACCAGCCCCACACACACCCACAGACACCTCCATCCCGCTCACCGGCCCCACACTCCTCCGGACCCCCCATCCCTCACCCGAACTCCATAGTGCCTCAGACCCACAGCCATCACAGCCACCCCACACCGCTCCCGTGCCCCCATGCGGCCTTCCTCGACCCACACCGCCCCCGTGCCCCCCACGCGGCCCTGCTCGCCCCACACCGCCGCCCGTGCCCCCACGCGGCCCTGCTCGCCCCCAACCGCCGCCCGGGCCCCGCGCCTCCCCCCGCACCTGGCGGCCCGCACGGCGACGCGCGCTAGGCCCGGCCCGCGGCGCTATTGACGGAAGTAAGATCGCGCCGCGCTGGCCACGCCCCCCGGAGCCGCTCATTGGCCGCCGCGCGCGGCGCTTGTTGCTACCCGGCTGCGCGCTTCGCCATTGGCTGGGAAGGCTGGTGGCGTCACCGGCAGGCGCGGGCCGGCTGCGTCACGTGAGGCGAGGGGGAGCTGGACGCACGTGCGAATGTTTTGGTCAGAGGAAGGGGCGGGGCCGAGGTAGGGGGCGGGGCCGAGGTAGGGGGCGGGGCCGAGGTAGGGGGCGGGGCCGAGGCTCTGGGCGCGGGTGGGGAGGAGGCAGTTGGCGCCGGGCAACGGCCGCCCAACGGCCGCCCAACGGCCGCTGTGAGGGGCAGCGCGCCCCGGGGTGCCCGGCCGTGGCACCGGGGTGCCCGGCCACAGCATGGCGGATGGGAGGGGAGTTAAAAAAAAGTGCGGAAACAGGCACCCTGTGTGACAGTGCCCTGCTGTGAGGGAAAGGGAGTTTTGTAGCCTCTCTAAAAGCCTAAGGGAAACAGGAAGATTGTGCTCTGTGAGTTCTTGGCTTCCGCTTTGAAGGCATTCGCTTACTTCCAGTGTGGAGGAGAAATGGTTGTCTCGAAGATAGCAATTTATGAGATGAGGCAGCTGGAGGAAGGTCCTGGAGGGCATTCTGTGCTGCGAATACCCAGCATGGACCACCACTGAGAGAGGTGGCAGCGGGACCAGGGTGCATCTCGCCTCTGTTTGCCCAAGGCTTCCAGTGCTCCTGGTCCTGGAAAGAGAAGATGAGCTAGCAAGTTTAAGAAAAAAAACCATCACTTAGTTGCCACACTAGTTGGCCAGCAAATTGGAAATCTCTCTGCTCAGCATCTTGTAAAAGGCTCTTCTTTTGCTTCGTTGGATCTAGCTCTAGAAATTTGATGAATTTTTGTGGGAAATAAATAAATAAATAAACCCCTTTCATCTCTCTAACTTTCCTGTGGGAAAACTACTCAAGAAAGGGGAAATTAGAGAATAATTAGGGCCTAACAGAAGTTATAGCATTAGAGGCTTGCTTGGGGTGAGAGACAGTTACCACTTCCAGGATGGTTGGTAGGTGCGGAATCTACTTCTCCATGATTCCCTTAGCAGCTTAGTCTGCCCTCCTAGCACAGACTAATGAGAGCAAACAAAGAGTGGAGCAGGATGGAGACACCCTGGCCAAACTTTGTTGGCTTCTCTGCAGAGGTGGTAACCTGGTGGTGCCTGCAGCTGATGAGTGAACGGAGGGTGGAGCGAAGATATTGCAGCTAAACTCTATTGTTCTCCCTACCTGGTTGTACCATGCAGCTGATAAACCAGGCAGCATGATAAGATGTCTGGTGCTGGGCCAACAAGGGTGGCAGAACAGTCCCTTCTGATGGACTTTGCTTGAACTTCTCCTCATTTTAAGATCATTATAATGCCAACACACACCTCCATGCCCAAAGTTACCCCCTCTGAGGTACAACCACTCCGCACTGAGCAGGCTCTATAGATTACCGATTGACTTTACCTTTAAATGAAAGCAAGAGACTTTTTCACTAATCAGTAACAAAAGTAGTACAACTAGAGTCACTCAAACTCCATCTAAATACAAAAAAAAAAAAAAAGTATAAAAAGTGAACTAAGGAGGGGGAAGTTGGAGGGAAGACTCCATCATAACCTCTGAATCAGTTGATGGGCTGAACTCCTTTCCTTCCCATGGGTCAGGATGTCTCTTTAGGAGACTCCTTGAGACTGAGACCCCTCTCCCATCTTCTGGGGTGAGTGATGATTGCGCATTTGTACATCAGAGCTAGTTAAGAACCCCACACAGCAGTAATTTCCTGTACTGAAACCTGTTTTCTAAATGTGGCATTTGAATAAATCCTGGTATTTGTGAACTCAGCTACATGTTTTGAAGGTGATCAGACCTACAGTCAACAGGCTGTTCATGAATCTGGTACTGCCAGAGTCAGGCCTATAGTTACCACAGTATTTGACATCTCTGTTAAGAGATGAGTCCAGCCGCCTCCAGTCCCTCTAACCTCTGAGGATGGGATGGAACACAAGGGGATTCACCTCTTAAAATTTTGCCTCCCTTCAAACCTCTTCCTTCTCCTTTTTCCTTCCCTGGATGTGAGACCAGCACACAGTTACCTCACAGCCCTTGCGGGCATGATCTTTTAGGATGAGTGGGCTTGGCCAGTGGAAGAACCCTCGTGAGCTAGATACCTGCTCCAGAAGTGACTCAGGTCATACAGAGTGATACCGTGTTCTTGTATCTAGCTGAGGACAAGGCAGCAAATGCTGGAAGACAACACATTTTTGATGCCAAAGCCCAGGCTTACAGAGTTAAGACACACTTACATATACTCAGATAAATTCTGGAACGTCGAAGAAGGAAGATGAGCTGCCAGAGGAGATGTCGTGAGGCACAAGCTGTAGCTGCCACGTGTACACAGAGGTGGTGCCCCCAGAGCTTGCCTTTGTTCCCTTGATTATCAAGCCCCTTTGGTGGATAGG